GTCTGCCAGCAGATTCACCTGCTGAGCAGGGAGTCTGTCCTCTGATCCCATTTACATCCGCTGCTCCATAGAGGGCAATGAATAGTCTGATTGGGTGTGCCTGAAAAATGACAAGCGAACCATATCAGTCCATAAGGTCAAACCGTGCAAGTCCCTAATCAACTAATGTCACAAAGCTGCAGGTATATAAGAGGATATTGTCTCTTAAAAAGCGAATTCAAATGGATACTGCGCTAGGCGAACCCTTATACCTTTATGAGCACTATGAAGACCTTCACACAAGCAATCAAAAAATGAAAATGAAAAAAATATGGTAGTTAAACTAAATAAGTGCATACATATGCCCTATGAAGACCCTCACCTCTCTGAAGGGCGATCAAAAATTTAAGAAAAAATCGAAAGCATAAACTAAGTGGGTACAATAATCATACATACGTATGAAAAACCGTGATATATGGTCAAATGAACCTGAAATTTCATACATTATCCATGAGCCCTATGAAGACCCCCACACCTCTGAAGAGTGATCGAGGTTGAGGTTAAGTCAAATCTCACTGTGCAAATTGTATTCACCTCAAATATACATAAAGGTTAGTAAAACAAAAGTGTCAAAACAAGAAAAACAATAACAAAACGTCCATATAGACGTACACCATAGTCCATAAGTATGAAAAGAAAATTCCACAATCGATGGTATTATTTATAGACAATGCTGTAGGTGCAAATATAGATAGACTTGTTTCAACTGGTCACCAAGGTGCACACCACCACCAAAGTATCGAATGGAGGCTTACCAGAAATGGAGACCTCTTAATTACAGGGGTCCCAACCAGCTTTGGAAAGAAGAAGAAGAAGAACCATATCAGTTCTCCCCTGTGAAAGGGGCCTTCAACAGTAACCATAGAATAAAAATGCTTTGCTATACATTTTTGTGTATTTGATGGGGTTTCCTAAAAACAGAGCATTTTTATTACAGTGTGATTTAAATAAATGCATTTTATGTCCTTTTTTTCATAAATTATGTAGAATTATTTAGATATGCAAACTAGTCACAGGGTTATAATTAAAGCAGAACTCCAGTTACATTTTTTTTTTGTTTCTCATGCAGTGGGGCTGTGCTCCTTTTGCATGGTTTAACTGCTCGTTTTGTCTGGGGGCTCAGGGAAAACCTATACTTATTCTGTCCTCTGATCCTCTGGAAATTCATGCTCCTCCACATCCAGCAATGGACTGTTCTTGCCATCCTCACGTTTGAAGGTGGTCTATGGGCATGATGACATCAGGAACAGCCCATTCACAAGACTGCTGAAGTGTGGGGGAAAAGGAGCGGTGGGGACTGGTCTTGTGCTTGGTGGATCGGCGGATTAGATAAGTATATCTCTGCTTACAGAACCCCTAGACAAAAACAAGCATTTAACCCATGCAATGTGGCACAGCCCCACTGCATTGGGAAAGAAAATGTTTGCTCAGAATTCTTCTTTAAGTTAACCAACGAATGCTAATGTTGTTAATTTTGGCCTGAGCATCTGTTTGCATCCAGTAGGAAGAGCCTATTCTAAAGAGAAATGTTAATTACACCAATGCCTGTTTATATTTATATTTATATATATATATATATATATATATATATATATATATATATATATATATTTTTTTTTTTTTTTTACACACACACAATATTGCCAAAAGTAGCCAAAAGGGATGCCTGCCTTTACACGCACATGTACTTTATGGGTATCCCAGTCTTATTCCGTAGGGTTCAATATTGAGTTGGCCTCCCTTTGCAGCTTCAACTTTTCTGGGAAGGCTGTCCACAAAGTTTAGGAGAGTGTCTAGGGGAATGTTTGACCATTCTTACAGAAATGCATTTGTGGCTCGCAGTCTCCGCTCTAATCTGTCCCAAAGGTGTTCTATCAGGTTTAGGTCAGAACTCTGCAGGCCAGTCAAGTTCTTGCACCCCAAACTCGCTCATCCATGTCTTTATGAGCTTGCTTTATGCACTGGTGCACAGTCATGTTGGAACATGAAGGGGCCATCCTCAAACTGTTCCCACAAAGTTGGGAGCATGAAATTTGTCCAAAATGTCTTGGTATGCTGACACTTTAAGATTTTCTTTTACTGGAACGAAGGGGCAAAACTCACCCCTGAAAACCAACCTCACATCATAATCCCCCCTCTGAATTTTACCCTTGGCACAATTCAGGTAGTCAAGTACTGTTCTCCTGGTAGCCACCTCCGTCGGATTGCCAGACAGAGAAGCGTGATTTGTCACTCCAGAGAACACATCCCCACTGCTCTAGAGTTCAGTGGCGGCGTGCTTTACACCACTGCATCTGATGCTTTGCATTGCACTTGGTGATGTAAGGCTTGGATGCAGCTGCTCGGCCATGGAAACTCATTCTGTGACGCTCTCTACGCACTGTTGTTGTGCCAATCTGAAGGCCACACAGAGTTTGGAGGTCTTTAGCTATTAACTCTGCAGACAGTTGCCGACCACTGTGCGCTTCAGCATGCACTGACCCCGCTCTGTCATTTTACGTGACCTACCACTTTGTGGCTGAGTTGCTGTTGTTCCCAGTTGCTTCCACTTTATTATAATACCACTAACAGTTGACCCTGGAATATTTAGTAGCAAGGAAATTTCATGGATGGACTTATTGCACAGGTGCCAACTTATAACGGTACCACACTTGAATTCACTGAGCTCCTGAGAACGGCCCATTCTTTCACAAATATTTGTAGAAGCAGTCTGCATGCCTAGGTGCTTGATTTTATACACCTGTGGCGATGAAGGTGATTGGAACACCTGAATCCAGTGATTTGCAGGGGTGTCCCAATGTCCAAATACATTTGGCAATATAGTGTTTGTATGTATGTATGTATATACATACACACATATATATATATATATATATATATATATATACAGTGGGGATCGAAAGTTTGGGCACCCCAGCTAAAAATTTGTATTAATGTGCATAAAGAAGCCAAGGAAAGATGGAAAAATCTCCAAAAGGCATCAAATTACAGATTAGACATTCTTATAATATGTCAACAAAAGTTAGATTTTATTTCCATCATTTACACTTTCAAAAATAACAGAAAACAAAAAAATGGTGTCTGCAAAAGTTTGGGCACCCTGCAGAATTTATAGCATGCACTGCCCCCTTTGCAAAGCTGAGACCTGCCAGTGTCATGGATTGTTCTCAATCATCGTCTGGGAAGACCAGATGATGTCAATCTCAAAGGTTTTAAATGCCCAGACTCATCTGACCTTGCCCCAACAATCAGCACCATGGGTTCTTCTAAGCAGTTGTCTAGAAAACTGAAACTGAAAATAGTTGACGCTCACAAAGCTGGAGAAGGCTATAAGAAGATAGGAAAGCGTTTTCAGATGTCAATATCCTCTGTTCGGAATGTAATTAAAAAATGGCAGTCATCAGGAACAGTGGAAGTTAAAGCAAGATCTGGAAGTCCAAGAAAAATATCAGACAGAACAGCTCGCAGGATTGTGAGAAAAACAATTCAAAACCCACGTTTGACTGCACGATCCCTCCAGAAAGATCTGGCAGACACTGGAGTTGTGGTACACTATTCCACTATAAAGAGATACTTGTACAAATATGGTCTTCATGGAAGAGTCATCAGAAGAAAACCTCTTCTACTTCCTCACCACAAAAATAATCGTTTGAACTTTGCAAATGAACATATAGACAAGCCTGATGCATTTTGGAAACAAGTTCTGTGGACCGATGAGATTAAAAAAATTGAACTTTTTGGCAGGAATGAGCAAAGGTACGTTTGTAGAAGAAGGGGCACAGAATTTAATGAAAAGAACCTCTGTCCAACTGTTAAGCATGGGGTTGGATCAATCATGCTTTGGGGTTGTGTTGCAGCCAGTGGCACAGGGAACATCTCACGAGTAGAAGGAAAAATGGATTCAATAAAATTTCAGCAAATTTTAAATGGTAACTTGATGCCATCTGTGAAAAAGCTGAAGTTAAAGAGAGGATGGCTTCTACAAATGGATAATGATCCTAAACACACCTTGAAATCCACGGGGGATTACATCAAGAGGCGTAAACTGAAGGTTTGCCATGGCCTTCACAATTTCCTGACCTCAACATAATTGAAAATCTATGGATAGACCTTAAAAGAGCAGTGCGTGACAGACAGCCCAGAAATCTCAAAGAACTGGAAGATTTTTGTAAGGAAGAATGGGCAAAGATAGCAAAGATACCTCAAACAAGAATTGAAAGACTCTTGGCTGGCTACAAAAAGCGTTTACAAGCTGTGATACTTGCCAAAGGGGGCAGTACAAGATATTAACTCTGCAGGGTGCCCAAACTTTTGCAGACGCCATTTTTTTGTTTTCTGTTATTTTGAAAGTGTAAATGATGGAAATAAAATCTAACTTTTGTCGACATATTATAAGAATGTCTAATCTGTAATTTGATGCCTTTTGGAGATTTTTTCCATCTTTCCTTGGCTTCTTTATGCACATTAATACAAATTTTTAGCTGGGGTGCCCAAACTTTCGATTCCCACTGTGTGTATGTGTGTGTGTGTGTGTGTGTGTGTGTGTGTGTGTATATATATATATATATGTATATGTGTGTGTGTGTATATGTATACTGTATATTAAAAAAAAATCATATAGCATATTTTACCTAGGTTATGAAATATTGCATGAGAGCACAACCCCTGCCCCCCCCCCCCCCCCCCCCACAATTTTTTTTTTCAGGCTTCGAAGCAGTGTTTTTTGAGAACCCTTCTGCTTCTTACACATCATGGCCACATCTCTTTGCCAAGTCTGACCACAAAGTCCAGATACTGTGTGTGCTTTCAGCACTACACTGTATGTATGTGCACTGTGTCCTTGATTTTTTTTTTGTTTTAATTGTGTCTCTGAAAGTAACAGTAAAACTGTTTGTATTATAATTGTTAAACCATTCTGGCCTTGTTTTTATATTATTTCTTTTCTGTTTTCAAATCAACAGAGATATGAAAAATGCAGTGATTGGAAACAACAAACAGAAAGCCAACCTCATAGTTTTGGGAGCAGTGCCAAGGTACATACTGTGACTGTCAGCAGCCACTGTCTGGCAGCCTGCTTGTGAATTCCGAATCTACTGTGGGAGATGGTGTTCAGGATTCTCTGTGAAAACTCTAAAAATGGTTCTAAAAAAATGTTTGGTTTATTTTAGAAACTACACAGTAGCTGTAGCCTATCCACATTCATGGAAAAGCTTTACCAGCCTGTAAGCCCCATTCACACCTAGGCCTTGTGCAAAATGGCCATAAACAATGCTGCGTTTATAGGCATACAACTTTTCTTTTTTTTTTTTTGCCTCTAAACGCAGTTCTACGTTGGCCTATGAAGCCATGCACATCAGGCATTTAGATCAGTATATTAAGAGCAGTGTTTAGAGGCATAAGGGCTGGTTCACACCATAGAAACGCAGTTCGGATGCGTTCCGGATGTGTTTCTGTATGTGCGTTTTTGATGGGTTTCTGTTAATTTTTCCCCCTCTCTTTTTCTTCAACTTAAATAAGGGTGTGTGTTCCAGTGCGGTTTTTAGGTGCGTTCCTGTGCATTTTTGATGATGCGTTTTACTTTGTTCCAGTACAGTTCAGTACAGATAAAATGAAGCATGTTCCACTTTTTTTTTCTGGAATTGGAACGCACTAGAACTGACCACACTGGTGTGAACCATGCCATTGGAAACCATGAAACCTACTATCATTGGGTTTTTGATGCAGAAAAAAAACTTGCACAGGACTGTATCATTTAAATAAATAAAAACCACCAAATCTGCGTTCAGAGAGGAGCTTGAGTATAATTTATGCGCATACATAGTATGAGTGTAACTGTGTCAATGGCCAGATGCATTTACGGTTAACGCCATATATGCATAAATACTTGGACATACACAACATCAGAGACATTTTTTTGCTGCCTGGAAAAAATCCAGCATATTTGGAAAAAAAATTTTTTATGCCTGTGTACATGGAGCCTTAAGTGGCATATAAAAAAAATGCAGTGTTCAAAAAAAGTCAGTTTAATAATGTGCCGTAATAACATGAATTGGGTTTGCTTTTATGGCCAGTTCACACTACTAATGCGTTTCAGTTACTTTTTTTCTGCATCCAAAACACACAGAAAGTAGGTTATATGGTTGTCAATGTTATATTTCATATCAGTGCTTGCAGTTCCAGTGTGTTCCGGTTGCAGAAAAAAAAGTAGAACATGCTGCATTTTTTCTGCACAGAGCTGTACTGGAACACGGTAAAACGCACTGGACCGCACCAGAAATGCACTGGAATGCACATGTCCCTATTTAAATTGAAGACAGAGAGAGGGGAAAAAAATTAACTGGCATACATAAAAAAAACGTTCTGGAACGTATCAAAAATCACCAGAACGCTTAAAAAAACGAACATGCAAAAACGCATCCCGAATGCATCTGGACTGCATTTCTATAGTGTGAACCTGCCATTGTGCCTATGGAAGTGTATTATGCAGTAGGTGTTTAGTAAGTTAGGTTACAAGCATCTACTATGAGATTGCAGAAAGCACACGTTATGTAGCTGAAGGCCGCATGTGTCTTCTAAGCCACTGTTTGTGAGCCATTGGTCCTAAATATAGATTAGCCTTTTTGCATGGATGGGCATCACTCTAATGGTGGCCATACACACTTGTAACCTCAGGTGGGTTAGCAGGAACAGGTCGAGATTCGAACCATGTATGGGCAGGCTGAATGTGCCCAAGTTGATTGATCAACTTGGGTACAGCTAGCCTGTCGGATTTTACATGCGATTATTGGGGGAATCGGGCAGTTTTCTTTTCTGCAGCGCCTGGCTGCAGGAGAAAAATTGCACACATCTGTGGCTGGCTTTAGGGTTAGAATGTCTGTCATATGTTTTTTTCTTTGTCCCTTTTTGAAGTGATTTCCTCATCAATCCCTATTTAGACAGAAAGTGAGTCGAACGCTCTTCAATGGGAACACAGACAAAAATAAATTTTTAACCCTTCTGACAATGTGTGTATTGTTTTCTCTACTTTCCATTCTAGGTGACAGAAGTCACCAGTCAGACAGAAATGGGAACCTATACTCAGAAGTAAAGGGGAAAAATATAGACTGCAGTTAGTCTTTATTCATTTAGGTCTCTGCTAGTATAGCAAACATAAATTGGTTCTATACAGTCCAATAGGAGCACCAAACAAATGTCCAAAAGTCCAAAGTTTTTAAAGGATAGATTCACCTTTTTGGACAAAAATAATAAATGCCCATTTTTTTTTTTTTTTTTGCAGGTAAAAAAATGTGCATTTATTATTTTTGTCAAAAGGATCCTGTAAAGCATTGCACCAGCGATCAGTAGATCGCTGTTGCCATGCAGGTCCCCTGCAGACCTGTCAGAATATGTATTGTACAATAATTGAAAAGAATGCAGCGCTTCATATTGAAGGTAAAAATGACATAAAATAAAATAATGAGTAAAAGTCTTTAAAAAGTGCAACGTGGCAATCGTGATTCCTTAGATGCTTGTTAAAATAACGTGACTTCCGTAGTTCATGCGGAGTGAGTATATAATGTACTAACCAGATAGCACATGGTTATGTGCGTTGGAGTAAATAAGACCTACTCCAAAGGTACTCTGGGAACCGGAACTCTGCAAACAGGTGAGGTCGTCAGGTGGGGTTGAGTCACCAGATATCATCAGACCAAAGCAGATTCCATTATTCCAGTATAATGTGTAATCATCACATAGGGTACATCATGCAGTATGGATTTCAGCCACCGGGGGGATCCGGGGGTCTCCCCCTGCACAAGGACTTATGACCTATATACTACCCCAATTACTTCTGGATGTAAGTGTCAGTTGTGTTTTTGTACTTTCTATTTTTGCTTGCAATTGTTACTCCTGTTGTCATAATAAATACTACACATTGGAGTTTTCCTTTTTCTCTGGGCTCATTTTTTGGAAACCGTGAGCGCCCCCCCCCCCCATCAAGGTGCTCCATGGTAGGAGACGTACACCCATGTACATGATCCCCCCGGTGGCTGAAATCCATACTGCATGATGTACCCTATGTGATGATTACACATTATACTGGAATAATGGAATCTGCTTTGGTCTGATGATATCTGGTGACTCAACCCCACCTGACGACCTCACCTGTTTGCAGAGTTCCGGTTCCCAGAGTACCTTTGGAGTAGGTCTTATTTACTCCAACGCACATAACCATGTGCTATCTGGTTAGTACATTATATACTCACTCCGCATGAACTACGGAAGTCACGTTATTTTAACAAGCATCTAAGGAATCACGATTGCCACGTTGCACTTTTTAAAGACTTTTACTCATTATTTTATTTTATGTCATTTTTACCTTCAATATGAAGCGCTGCATTCTTTTCAATTATTGTACAATACATTAGAGGATTCAGGTATTTCCTTTTTATGCTGGTGGCTGATTATTTATTTTATGCTACCCTAGCGCTCGTATATCCACCGTTCTATTGTCAGAATATGTGCTTGCCGTACGGGATGTACGAGCAAGCAGATATACTGACTGGAAGCTTCAATGAACTACCACGGTGCTCCACAGCGCCATGATAATTCATTAAAAACTGCAAGCCAACAGTCACTGAGGCTGTTGGGACTTGTAGACACTCATCCACAGAACACTGTGAATGAGTGACTCGCCCATGTTGGCGGAGCACCGCACGGCCGCGCTGTTTAAAAATCGGACAGTACGGGGAGAAGTTTCCCCCGACTATCTGTCAGACGGAGGGGGGTGGTGAATGCAGCTGCTATGGGAATTTTTTACATGTTCCCTAAAAACGGCTGGAGCATGTAACGTTTACCTTTTAATGGTAAAAAATTGTTTTACAGCAGAAAAAAGCCAACATGGTTCCCACTTCATCAGGGTTTAGGAATTTTGACTGTGCTTATATGGACAAAGGCAACTAAATCCCAGATAGATCTGTGTTTTCTCCTTGGAATGGTTTCAAAAGGCAAGTTAAGCCAGTGTTCACAAATGCAGCAAAGGAGATGTCATGTCCCACCGATTTACCTGTAGTTAGGTTATTGTTTTGAAATACACAGATTAGTAAATGGATATGCAAGGGATGACAAAAACTTTTCTGTGGCCAGTTTATTGATGTTAACAATGAGGCAAGTCACTTAATTTGATCAAAACCATTTGCATCTCGGAGTCTTTTTCTCCATATGACCCCCGTGAATCCCAGAGCATTTTGATAACTTCAGAGATGTTATGTTTCTGCACATTATATTTTATAGCTTTTAGCTTTGTAGTCTAAAAATTACATGATACTGCAATCCTTCTTCCAGACAAGGTTTTTATATTAGGTGGAAGATGTGGGACACACACGCACATGCAACATGTGAATATACAAAAATGTTTCCAAATGTATTAATCCGAATATATAAATGACTGTTTAAAATAATCACATATGATGAACAATACAAGAGTCTTTTTTGACATGCTACAAAGATCACTCATATTTGCATTATACTGAGTGTCCTTTTCACTTTAGCCGTTTTTGTAGGTACCTCCACTTTGTCAGGACCATCAGAGAAGACTACAAGACATCCGTGCAGTTCTATTGATCTCCGTATAGTGGCCACAATTGGTTTATGGTGCTATACGGTTATAGAAATCTAAGGCTTCATTTATTTTAACTAGGAAAAAAAACTACTTGGTTACTTCACTATGGGACTAAATGATACAGAGGTCCAGGCCATAATGTTGTCCTGACACAAGATGGTGATGTTGGAGTATACCTCTCCTCCCTTCCTGATCCACAGAAATGAAAAGGGCGCTTAAAAAATTTATTTTTTTCCTAGGTATTTATGTAAAATAAAACCTTTAATCATTTTATCCTTTAATAAAAAGTCTTTTGATTAAAGGATATCATGTAAGTACAATTTTTATCTACCATAATGAAATGAGAAAAACTTTTTTATATTACTTTAGAAGAACTTTATTCCATTTTTAACACTGTATTTTTTTTAAACATTTTTTCTATTATCATGGGGGTATTGATTAGGAAAGTAGAGACCTGATCAAGTCCCCTCATGTCTGAAAAAGGATTATGTCCAATGATTGCAGTACGCAGTAGATCATTAAAGCATGCATCTGTTGCTGCAGGGATAAGCAGGACAGGACTTTATCAGCTTTGCCCTACGCTTTGTACTGACAAACTATTGAGTGCTGCCATGACAACTATTGAGTGCTCTATAGAATGACTGGAAGCCCAGGAGCTGATCGATGCGGCTTCTGGGCTTAAAGTGATTTATAAAGGCTTGTTTTTTTATTTATTTGTTTTATAACAAACATGTCTATACTTACCTGCTGTGTGTAGTGGTTTTGCACAGAACAGCCCGGATCCTCCTCTTTATGGCTTCCCTACTGGCGCTCCTGGCCCCTCCCTCCTGTCAGATGCCCCCACAGCAAGCAGCTTGCTATGGGGGCACCTGCTGCTCCGTGTGTCATTCACACACGGAGCTGCGGCTTGACCCCGCCCCTTCTCTCTTCTCACTGCTGTGATTGACAGCAGAGGAGAGGGAGTCCCAAGATAGCTGAGACTCCAGTGCACATCACTGGATCGAGAGGGGGCTTAGATGAGTATTAGGGGGGCTGGGGGGGGGGGATGCTGCGCAGAGAAGAAAACCTTTAGCCTTTAGAACCACTTTAAAGTGATTGTAAACCCTCATCTTGTAAAACAACCCATTCAGTTTAAAGTAGAAATGAAAAGCAAAACATTTGTGTATAGATATAAAAAAACATTATATACACCTTTTTTTTCCCTTTTTATTTTTAAAAGCGTTTACATACTCTCTGTTCTCAGCTGCATAAGAGCTAGGGGCGGAGAAACGGCTGCACACACTGATCTTCCCAGTGAAAAGCTGTGCAGGGGGTTTTGTCAGCAGAAGTCTGATCATTGAAGGAGAGCACACTGAGTTCCCAGCACAGCTAGAGAACTGACCACACTGCTCTTATGCCTAGTGTCATCAGTTTTTAATAGAAAAGCAGAGGGACTTGCAGGAACACCAGGGGTTTCACACAAAGGAAGCAATACAAAGAGAGCAGGATACTTTTTTATACAATTACATGGTACAGCAGGTACATATCAGGAATATCGAAATGTTGGGTTTCACATATTCTATAAAGCTGGGATTATGGCTGTCACTTGGCAGCCAGCGGTTCGAGCACTAAAGCCAGCTGGGACCCACAAAATCAGTTGAGTTCCAGTGCTGTTTTAACAACTTTCCATCAAGGCCAATTCTGGAATTTCTCTCCTACATGTAAAAATTATCATTTATTTGCTAAAAAATGACTCGGAACCCCCAAACATTATATGTATTTTTTTAAACAGAGACCCTAGAGAATGAAATGGCAGTCGATGCAATTTTTCATGCCACATGGTATTAGCGCAGTTATTTTTAAAATACAATTTTTTGGGAAAAAATACACTTTTCATGAATTAAAAACCCCCACAATATATAACCCAATTTTTGGTATAATATAAAAGATGATGTTATGTGAGGAAATAGATACTTAACATGTCATGCTTTAAAATTGTGTACACTCGTGGAATGGCGCCAAACTTTGGTACTTGATAAATCTCCATAGGCGATGCTTTAAACATTTTTACAGGGTTCCATTTTAGAGTTACATAGGGGTCTAGTGCTAGAATTATTGCTCTCACTATTACGTTTGCGGCGATATCTCACATGCGTGGTTCGAACGCAGTTTACATATGTAGGTGCAACCTATGTATGTGTTCACTTGTGCGTGCAAGCACAAGGGGATGGCGGCACTTTAAAAATTTTTTATTATTAATAATAATAATTTGATTTTGATTTTTACACTGTTTTTTTTTTAATTTTTTTTATCACTTTTATTCCTATTAAAGGAAATGTAAACTTCTCTTGTAATAGGAATAAGGCATGACAGGTTCTCTTTACGGAGAGATGTGGGGACTTCTAGACCCCACATCTCTCCTCTATGCTGGAAAGCATGAGATAAAAAAATAAAATGTAACTCAAGCTTTCCATAAAAGCTGCACTGGCATCTTCCAGTCCGGGAAGTGATGTCATGATGCCGCTTCTGGCCCCCCAGGGTCATAGAGATGCTCTATGGTAAACAGGTGCCGCTGGCGGATCTGTTCTGTGGCTCCTCTATCGCATGGGAAAGCACAGAGAAGCGTCGGTGGGAGGGGGGGCTAATGATCCGCCAGCATGGCTTTTACAATGCAGGGAATCGCCAGCTGAAAAAAAAGATATCTGGATGATGCTTGCAGCTGCAAGCATCATCCAGATATCTCCACTCCAAGTTTACGACGTTATGTGAGCGAAAAGTGGTTAAAATGGCTCGAGGACAAATAGTTGTGGTCTCTGTGTCAATTTAAAAAGCAACAGAACTCAGGGTTAATTAAGCTTTGGTATCATTTTATGGAAATCAAGTGCCTTACCAGGTGTAACATCATAAACTTGCCATATTTACTCCAGTCTAGGATTTGTATAGGTCAGAATTGTCACCAAGGAGATCTTTCCCCTTCTAACTGCTCCATCTCCTTTGACAGATTATTATACTTGCTTCAGCAAGAGACTTCGAGCACAGAACTGAAGACAGAATGTGCTGTGGTCCTTGGCAGCTTGTCTATGGGTACAGAAAACAATGTGAAATCCCTGCTAGACTGTCACATAATCCCAGCTCTGCTGCAAGGTAGTTGTGACCTTACTATACAGCACAAAGGCCTCACATATTGTACTGACCTGCCACACGTTTCTATCTCTGACACCTTCATTGTTCTGCATTTTCAGGCTTGCTGTCAGCAGACATCCGCTTCATTGAAGCTTGTTTGCGATGTCTCCGAACAATTTTCACAAGTCCAGTAACTCCAGTGGAGCTCTTGTATACAGTAAGAACTTATTTTTTTTCTGATGCAAATCTGTATTGTGTTAGATTTTGTTGTATGCCTACAATACATTTATTTCTTTTCAGAGTATAAACATACATGTTTAAATCATGAGTCATAGTTTATATCTATGCCAAAATTCATGTAACATATAATAGAAATTATACGAAATAAAATCTGTTTAATACATTCACATCTTAGTAAAGGTGGTCTGATGAGTTCAAATTCTGTTCTATTCCACTAAAATTCTATTCTACTGATAACAAAAAAAAAATTGTTAGGCCATATTTGGGCAAAATATGAATCATTTATTAAAGCAGTAGTAAACTCTCTGAAAAAAAAAAGTTTCCCCCTGCAAGACGAAGGCATGATGTGGTAGTATGCGTCAAATACTAGCACATTATGAAGGACTTACTTTAAAAAGAAGCCCTCCAGCAGTGCGCTGTCACCTCTACAGAGGCTTCCATCTCCACTCGGCCTTCCTTCTAGGCTTGCGGGCTGCGGCCGCTTGAATTTTTTTTATTGCCCTTGGGGTTTTGGGTCCCTTTCCCCCTGAAGCGGACTTTGTTTCGATCAGCGGGGGATCCACTCACAGATTCCCTGCTGATCAGAGCAGAGCGGGCAGATGAAAAGTCCGTGTCTGCTCCGTTTGTGCTGTATGGGTGGACGGATGTAAACGGACTCTACTGTCCATTTACACCCCACTAAATCTGATCCACTTAGAAGGAGAACGGATCCTCTTCCATTTGTTTTTAACGGACTGGATCAGATCGGAGATAGGCGTGTGTAAAAGTCTGTTTACAAAGACTGAAAAACTGACAGGCAGACCTGATTGTAACGGTTGTATGAAAGGGGCCTTAAATGTGCCCCACATTTTTTGCTATACATAAAATATGGTGATGCACTGATATATTGGCCACCTAAAATTATCGACCTGAAATATGGTTATCTGCGTTTTACCAGTAGAAAAAAAAAAAAGGTGCCGATGATGATGGACTTCAGTGCAAAATCGAGTCCCATTGACTTCAGTGCAAAAAACGCCCCCTATTGACTTCAATGCAAAAATGCCTATACAGTTGCAAGAAAAAGTATGTGAACCCCTTGGGATTACGTGGAGTTTTGCATGAATTGGGCATAAAATGTGCTCTGAACGGCATCTAAGTCACAACAATAGAAGAACACAGTATGCTGAACATAATACTACACAAATATTAGATGTTGCCATGGTTTAATTGCACATAACATGTAAACATTCACAGTGCAGGGAGGAAAAAGTATGTGAAGCCCTAGCTTAATGACTTCTCCCAGAGATAATTGGAGCCAGGAGTGAGCCAACTTTGACTCCAATCAGTGTGATGATATTGGATGTGTTGCTGACAGCTGTCCTGCCCTTAAAAAACACACACACCTGTTTTGGGTTTACTGGTTTCAAGAAGCACTGTCTGATGTGAACCATGCCTCGCAGAAAAGAGCTATCAGAAGACCTACGATCAAGAATTGCTGACTTGCATGAAGCTGGAAAGGGTTACAAAAGTATCTCCAAAAGCCTTGATGTTCATGTGTCCACGGTAAGACAGACTGTCTACAAATGGAGAAAGTTTAGCACTGTTGTTACTCTCCCTAGGCGTGGTCGTCCTGTAAAAATGACTGCAAGAGCACAGCGCAGAATGCTGCATGAGGTAAAGAAGAATCCCAGAGTGTCAGCTAAAGACCTACAGAAATCTCTGGCACATACTAACATTTTTGTTGACACATCTACAATAAGGAAAACATTAAACAAGAATGGAGTACATGGGAGGACACCACGGAGGAAGCCATTGCTGTCCAAAAAGAATATTGCAGTACATTTGAAGCATGCAAAAGAGCACCTGGATGTTCCACAGCACTACTGGCAAAATATACTGTGGACAGATGAAACCAAGATTGAGTTGTTTGGGAAGAACACACAACACTATGTGTGGAGAAAAAAAGGCACAGCACAGCAACATCAAAACCTCATCCCCATTGTAAAACATGGCGGAGGGAGCATCATGGTTTGGGGCTGCTTTGCTGCCTCAGGGCCTGGATGGATTGTTGTCATTGATGGGAAAATGAATTCCAGAGTTTATCAAGACATTTTGCAGGAAAACGTATGACCATCTGTCCGCCAACTGAAGCTCTGCAGAGGATGGGTGAGGCAACAGGACAATGACCCAAAGCATACAAGTAATTCAACAAACCAATGGCTGCAACAGCACAGAATACGCCTTCTGGAGTGGCCCAGTCAGAGTCCTGACCTCAACCCGATTGAAATGCTGTGGCATGACCTTAAGAGAGCGATTCACACCAGACATCCCAGGAATATTGCTACACTGAAACAGTTTTGTGAAGAGGAGTGGTCCAAAATTACTCCAGATCGTTGTGCAGGTCTGATCTGCAACTACAGGAAACATTTGGTTGAGGTTATTGCTGCCAAAGGAGGGTCAACCAGTTATTAAGTCCAAAGGTTCACATACTTTTTCCTCCCTGCACTGTGAATGTTTACATGTTATGTGCAATTAAACCATGGCAACATCTAATGTTTGTGTAGTATTATGTTCAGCAGACAGTGTTCTTCTATTGTTGTGACTTAGATGACGTTCAGAGCACATTTTATGCCCAATTCATGGAAAACTCCACGTAATCCCAAGGGGTTCACATACTTTTTCTTGCAACTGTATTTAAGTTTTTTAATTTTATATATATTTATTGTCTGTCCAATTTTTGTGTGTTGCTTCAATAAAAGTTATTTTACGTTACTGGATTGTACTTTTTCAATTCATATTCATGATATTAATTAAAAAGTCGAATATAATACTATTTTCTATATTAAAACGTTTTGTTTTTTTTTAAAACTGTACATTTCGGTTTCAGTTTTCGGCCATGTGCATCCTGAATTTTTCTGTTTTGGTCCAGAATTTTCATTTCGGTGAACCTCTAATAAAATATGCAGTTGTCTGTAGTTCTTCGATGCAGGCTAATTTAAAGTGAACATGGATCAGCTATGTTTTTTTTTCATGTTAAGTGCATGCATGGGATGTATAATGTAAGTTAACACAGAGTATTTATAGATCACAATAATCCCCCTCACACAATGACTTTAACTGCTTTGCTATTCAGAAGAGCAGTGTCGTTTCTGTTCAGATATTATCCAGGGTCAGCATTTGCTTCTTGGGACGAGATGCTGACTCCTGGTTATTTATGGCTTGCCAAAAGTCCATAAAGGGACTTCACCCCTTAAACTTCAGACCCATTTTCTTGGGTACAGGATCAATTACCCAGCCAATGGCTTAAGTATATCTATTTTTATCTGCAACCACTGATGAATGACTTGCCAGCATATATTATGGACACTATTGATTTTCTGTAAAAGATCAAAGCCTTCCTGACGTTCGATGACGATTGAAAGCTTACCACTATGGATATTACATCTTTGTATACCAGTATACCCAATGCCGCAGGATTACAGGCTGTGGAAATTTTTTTTACCAAACATAACTTGTCAGACCTACCGAAATAAAACCTGCTTGTATGTCTTGAATTTGTTCTTGGTAATCACTTTGTATTTGAAGGAAAACATATTCTCAGATCCGGCATTTGCGAATCTTTGTCCGCTACTGTGATTCATTCAGTATGCACATCAATGATATCTACATACCAGGGGCGGACTGACAACTCATGGGGCCTCTGGGCAATAGGAGATCATGGGGCCACTGTGTCCTTCCCCAAACTCAAAAAAGCCTATGAAAAAGGTACCAGGGGCATCACATGGGGCCCCCTACTGACCACGGGCCCTCGGGCAGTTTCCTAGTTTCCAAATGGTCAGTCCGCCCCTGCTACATACATAGATGATATGATACGGCAATGAACCTTCATTTTTTTTTCTGTTTTTTTGTTTCTTGAATAACATCTTCCCTATGACTAGTTTAATTAGTGTTTAATCCTGAGGTCTCTTCAAACAGTATTACCTTTCTTTATGAGTCAATCACTATTACACAGGGCATCCTGGTCACATCTCTCTCTACACCAAACAGACAGACAGGAACACATTACTCTATTATCAAAGTGGAGTATGCACCTCCGCAAGAATCTAACCATTTCACAATTCATGAGCGTTTCACGTATTTCAAAACTACAGCTTGAGAAAATGTATCACAGGTTTCTCGAACGGGGATACCCGGCAAAGGTGCTGGACCAAGCTTTGTCAAAAAACTAATGGACCCAGATCCAGCATACCTATTGACTGTCCATTATTTGTATATACTTTCAACAGGGAGTCAGATAGGGTCAAATGGGTGGTAAAACAGAACTGTAACATTGCAAGCTGAAAGCTCCTTAGCACCCAACCTGAAGTTCACGCCAATTGCTTACAGACACAATAAAACCATACGAGATCACCTTGTACAGGCTGACCCCAGACACAAATATGCTAAAATTCCACCTAGAATCTCTCATAAGAGGTTGCTATAGGTGCCACAACTGCAGTGTTTGCAATTCATTAATCTGCAGTGAATACTTCTCACATCCACACAGGTTCAATCAATATCGCATACACAATTATTTGAATTGTAGTACTGAATTCTGTGTTTACATCCTGAATTGTCCATGTGCATTGACCTATGTGGGCAAAACAACAGGCCCATTTAAGAGACGTTTCCAGAAACATAGGGGCAGCATTAGGATGGCCCTGATGAGGAATGACATGGGTGAAGAGACTGATCCGAATAAACCAGTAGCAGTACATTTTGTAGTATCCGAACATCAAACCCATGAATTAAGAGGTATGGTGATTGAGCATGTTGAAAAGCCAACTAGAGGCGGTAACCACCAGTACCACCTTCTGTGTCATGAGGCCTATTGGATTTACGCTCTCAGCCCAGTAAAATCAGGTGATCTTAACTCCAATTCATCATTTACATGTTTTCTTAGACAGATAATTGCTCCATCTTAGCATGTATACGATTGGTTTATGTCTTACTAAAACGTTTGTGAGTAATCTTGTTCTCTCCTCCCTACTAGACCATAGGCCATCCAGGTTTTTTACCTATACATTACAATTCATCCAAATTTTGGTAGTGACACCTGTGTCACTGCATGGTACTCTCGAGTCTTGTTGAGACCCCTTTTGTCATTATAGCCATGACAGTGGTTGGAAGAGAAATCTTTAGTCCTTTTTCCATATTTCATTTATTTAGTTTTTATTTTCTCTAATTTGCTGCCATTCTCTCCTTATTATAATTTCATTTATATCATTGCTTTTCTTTCACTTTTATGCCTCCCATCACTTTTGTTTATTCATTTTTTTTTCTAATTTTTGCTTATTTCTGTTGTTTTGTTATTTTTCTTTTCTTTCATTTATTTGTGTTATTTTTGTAATTATTGTTATTGTTTGTTGTTATTCTTAGTAGTTGTAGTTTTTTTGAGTATTTTTTCAGTATTCTTGGGACATTTATTTTTGATTTTTTTCTTATTTCCTTTTTCCCTTCTTTTTTTTTTTTTGTTTTCCTTCCCTTTTTTGTTGTTGTTTTTTCCCTCTAATTTCTTTTTTTTTTCTATTTATATATATTTTTTTCCCCTTGTGGACTGTTTTGTTTCTCTTCTTTTTTCATCTTTTGTTTTCATTTCCTTTAATTTCTTCTCTTCGTTTTTGTGTACTTCTTTCTTCTTTCATGCACCATGCACACTCTGCCCCTTCCCTCTGACAACTCAGGGTGTTTGCATCTGGCTCGACTTGGGCAACCTGGCATCATGGGTCTCCATGGCACCAGTGGCCCCGCCGGCCAGCGTTTACTGTTGCTTGGATACAGGCAGCCGCATTGAGCATGCATGGCTGCCGCAATCCTCTTCTGAGTTACATAAAAGGCAGGTTGCCTGGCAACTGGGACACCAGACTTGGCCAGGTTCTGCATCTGGTGAGTGTGCCCGATCACTACGAGGTCGCCCATATTTGTATGCATGCCCCCACAAATGAGACTCTGCTAGATTTTCACTTGCACATGTTTCTGCAGTGAATGTTGTTTGAACTATTTACCTAGGTGTTTTTGGCAGGATTCTGATGCCCTATGATGTCAGTAGGTAGAGGGTGTGACTTTTTTCCTGTACTTTGGTGGAGAGCACTTTAAATACTGTTGCACTGATGAACACATTTATCACATGCCTGACAAAGGGGTCCTGCGCGGCTCAGATGTGTTGCACTATGTCCTCTATGATGTGATTGTTCTTCGATAAAGATTTGGACGCTAATCAATGATCCGTGGTGTGCTGGCTAATATGTGCATTTGATCTATGCTGGCTCACAGATGGCACAATCATGTCTTTGTGTGATTCTTATCTGTGTTCACAAATTGTTGACACAGAACAACCCCTTACTAGAACCTCTCTGCAGGGAGAGGAGACTGAGGAAATGTTTCCTCCTACCTGCAGATTGATGACATCATCACAGCCTAGGCAAAATTACTTAACTGGAGTTCAGACTGCTTTTTACTGATAAACCACTTTTCTGAAAAATGTATACTGTTGTATATTGTGACATGTCAGAAGTTTATAACTATATTCCCCTCGCACACATTCCTGGAAGTACTGCTCATCAATGGAGGGTGCTGTAGTGACTACTAGCTGGGACTGGAAACATCATAAGCAAACGTACATATTTGCCAGCACACCATGGATCTCCAATATGGTCCAAAACATAAAAAAGATCACATCACCAAAGAAAGTGCGACATTTTGGAGCCGCACAGGACCCCTTCGTCAAGCCTGTTCACACGCCTGACAAAGGGGTCCTGCGTGTCTTCGAAATGTTGCACTTTCTTTGGTGATGTGATCTTTTGCAATAAAAACATTTTTTTGGACCATATTGGAGATCCATGGTGTGCTGGCAAATATGTATGTTTGCTTATGTCAGAAATTTATTCATGCAGGATTGTAATGCTAAGTGAAAGGCTACATTTTTAAGATGGTGAAAAGCTATGTACAAAGTGCATAAATCCATAAGAACTATCATTTCATGGGTTGAAATAGATGTTTATGGTTTTCTTCCATTTGCGTAGTTCACATATTTCTGTATGTATTGCACTTTTAAATAAGCTGCTGTATGTTTCCCTGGTAAGGAGCAGCCTACTTTTCACAGTGATGTGGTATTCCTAGGAGTTAACTGGGTTACAGTGCATTAATGGCTATATAGAAAATTATTTATTGCTATGTAACAATTTGAACTCCCCCATGCTGTGATTTAGATTGGGTTTCATTCTTTAATTGTGGTTATTTTCAGAACAAATCATATGTTGTAGAGCTATGTATATCTTTGTCCTTGATTTAACTACTTAATATTTCTGTCACTCACTAGAACCTTTCTCTTCTTTTTCAGGATGCTACTGTAATCCCTCATCTTATGATGTTGCTCAGCAGATCTCTCTACTGTCAAGAGTACATCTGCCAGATCTTCGCCCATTGCTGCAAAGTAGTTATTTCTAACAGTATGATTTATTCATATAAAGTGTAATGGCTCTTGGTGTTTTTATATAAAAAAAAGGTTTCATCCAAAATATACATCCATAAATATGTAAAAGGGGATGTAAAGCCTAAACCTGATTTACTAATTGAAGTAATTGAATAGTACCTTAGAATACTGTATAACAATAACAACACATTTCCCCTTCTCCATTCCCTTTTCTCCTGTGCCAAAAGCAGCCCAGTAATGCTGCAATGAGGCTTCCTGGAACTTGCAGGCTTGAATAGGAGATGCTGGTGTGAAACGACTGACTGCCATTTCATAGGCGCTGTGTTACCCTATGCAAGACAACCAAGCAGGTTTTCCGGCAAGGTCAACCTGTATGTTTACCTGTACAGAGTGGTCATACAAATTGCTAATCATTGTGTGAGTGCTCTGTGACGTGAACATTTTGTTTTTAAATATGCACTTTGAATAAAAGTAAAAAGGTATTAAGACAGATGGAACAATAAATCTTTAAAGGGAACTTGTGAATTATTTTAAATGTTTTAAAAGTTAAGTGGGGGCTTTCAAAATAATAAACATACATACTCACCTAGGTGGATGCAGCATCAGTACAATGCTGCATTGTCGCCCGCCGCCTCCAAGCCTGAGAACTGAGTGATCAAAGACCGCTGATCACTCAGTTCTCGGGTCCGCTCTGAGCACAGAGCAGTGACTGTCAGTCACTGCTCTGTGCTCTGCCCCTCCAGCACTCATTGGAGCAGCAGCTGACTCGGGCTCTCTGCGGTGCACTAAGAGGCTGAGTCAGCTGCTGTTCAGGCATCTGGTTGGATCCCTACATTAACAACTTCAATGCAAGGCACTTTCACCCCCTTCCTGCCCAGGCCAATTTTCAGCTATCGGCACTCACAGTTTGAATGACAATTGCGCAGTCGTGCAACACTTTACCCAAACAAAATTCTTATAATTTTTTTCACATAACTAGAGCTTTCTTTTGGCGTTTGTTTTTTTGTTTTTTTTTACCACTTCCTGTCTGGCCCATGTATATAAACAGCCAGACGGGAGCAGTGGGGAGCGGGTGACCGTTTATAAAAGTCCTTCCCGCTTCCCTGCCTGTGTGTACTCCCTGGGAACACTGATCGCTGTATGGGACCTCCTGTGTGAGGCCCCGATCATGTGATCACTGATTGGCCAATCAGTGATCACATAAATAGTAGTAAGCAAGATGTCACTTCTGACATCATTGCTTACTACGTGTGAAATCTCTGAATGATCACAGAGATCACATGGTACAAGGCTATTCACAACAGCCTTGTACCATGTGACAAGCTGTGACCAATCACAGCTCGCACAGTATTCTCAATGACTGCAAGAATGCAGCCAGAGAGAAGGAGAAATGATTGCTTTTACAGCCTTAATGGGTGTAAAAGCAATCCGTGTTAAAAAAAAAAAAAAAATCTTCATCACCTCCCACAAGTAGTACAGTGTCGCTAGGGTGATAGTATGTTAAAAAAAAAAAAAAAAGATAGATGAATACATTTTGGCCAAGATTTATGAAGAAAGATTATATGCAAAATTTTATAAGAAAAACATTTTTTTTTCAAAATGTTTAGAATTTTTCATTTATATAGCAGAAAAATAAAAATCCCAGTGGTGAATAAATACCACCAAAATAAAGTTTTATCTGTCTCAAAAAAAATGCAAAAAAATTCATATGGGTACAGTGTTGCATGACCACGCAATTGTCATTCAAAGTGTGATAACACTGAAAGCTGAAAATTTTGAAAAAGAAAAATGTTTTTCATCATCATATGATGTTCACCCAGATTGACGAAAGTTGCGCTTGGCTGTCATTTTGTTATTGGCTGGGCAGGAACTGGATCCCTCCAGAGTATGGACACGCTGAGTGATGTCAGCTAACAGTAGACTTTAGCCTGCTGTCAGCTAAGTACGGGTCACAGGAGTACAGAACTAAGTGACCCACAAGAGAAGTATGGGCAAAAGAGCTTTGGTCCTACTTCTCCTTTACTATAAAGTCCTGTATAGTAAAAACATCATAAGATCCCTGCTATTACCTATATTAACAGGAAATCCTCTTTGAGACTGGTTTCACCTTGTGACTAAAGCTCACCACACTCCTTACAATCTAATTGTACAATCTCCTTTAGATATGCCAACAGCTATGTAGTATAAGGGACAGCCTGAATTAATACAAATTGATTAGATAGATTAGTTTGGTCTAATATATAGATTTGTAAAATTAAAATTTGATTGTAAAAGATTGTACAGCCAGATTGGAACATGTATGGTGATTTCAAGGGTTCAGTTTTTCCATTAATTTCCACCTACCTGTAATATGTTAGTGCACCCTTATTTGATCCTAAGATGTTCTCATAAGATCAGGGGGTGGAAGCTTGGTAGGGAATAGCCCCAGAATTGATTATGAAATTGAAAGCTACAATTCCTTCCTTACAAAGTGAAACTAGTTTCACTTGCTTATCAAGGTAACAGCAGATGACCTGTGGCACCAACTAAAGACTTTTACTTATAAAGCTTTTAATGGCTGACAGGTCCATGTCAAAAGGGTTAGTCTAATAAATCCATGTATCAGTTGTTGAGAATACATGCTAAAGCATCAAGAAATTAATTAATGCACTTGAAAACGTGATTAAAATTCCATGGGTCTTGCCACTCTGTGTTCCAAGACTCTAAGACCGAGAACTGAGTGAGCAGAGAGCCTATGACTGTCAGTTACTGGCTCTCTACTCTGTCCCTCCAGAGCTCACTGTAGTGCCGAGCTGTGGAGGGGATGGGAATGGCTGGCTCAGGCTCTTTCCAGAGTCTGAACCAGCTTGGTGACGTTAGCCAAAAGCTGACTTTAGCCCTTTGTAGGCTGAATATGGGTCACAGGAGTGCAGAACTAAGTGCACTGCTGTCATCCACAGAAGAAGTAGGGCCAAAAGAGCTTTGTTCCTACTTCTCTTTTTAGACCTGGGTAAGTGAAACACAAAAATCCTCTTGATGTATGTGACAAATCTTGTGACAAATCATGCATACATTTCCACTTTCTCGAATCCCTGTGACCAATCTAATATAAAACTCTTAATTATGCTCCCCCACACCTTTGGAAACACACTCCTCTTTTTGTCCGGACCTAAACTAACACATATTGGCTAGGTTGGACACACTTGCGTTTCTTTTGTAAGTCTAAGATAATTGCATAAGGTTGGCTTCCCTTCTTATGGACCAGCACTCAGCAGTAAGGCAATACAGCCACATAGTGTAAAACTGTTAGGCTGAAAACACACTTCTAAAATAAAGTGTACTATAATCCATGGACCTGGAAGACACAGCTCATTAAAACCTTCCATAAAAGCTCCTCAGTACAGACAGCAGAGTGACTTCTATCTCTGTCTCCAGCTGCTCGCGATACAGCACCACTTCTGGTTAGGTGGAGACTGATGTCACACACATATCAAAACCTGGAAGTGGTGCTGTACTGCATACAGCTAATAGATGGGAGTCACTCTGCTGTCAGTATTGAGGACCTTTTATGGAAGGTCATAAAACTCAGCATCTATGAAAATTTATTTCACTTTTGGGTACAATTTTCTTTTTGCTGTCACAAGCATTTGGAAGCTGTGCATATTAAATGTTTTGGTTTTTTTTTTTGTTTTTTACAGGCTCCTGATCATCAGACCATTTTATTTAATCATGGTGTGGTACAAAATATTGCCCATTTGCTCACATCTGTGTCATATAAAGTAAGTTATTACTTTGAATTGGAAAGCTTTTTATTGTGGGAACTGGACAGAATGAGCATAGATATAGTGCTTTCATTGTGTATGTGCTTTGGAATTCAGATCTCATACTAGGGCTAATTGTCTGAAAAGCTTTGCTGGCTGTAAAAGCAATAATTTCTCGCTCTCTCTGGCTGCATTCCTGCAGCCATTGAGGAATAATGTAAGAAATAATGTAAGAGATGTGATTGGTCACAGCTGATCACATGGTACAAGGCTGCTGTGAATGGCCTTGTACCATGTGATCTCTGTATTCGATCACAGAGCTCACAGTTATAAGCTCTTACTTCCGGTTGGATCGCTATGGTGGATCTTCCTGAAGTTCTCCTTCTCCCCTCCCCTGCCACCAGCCTTCTGGGAAACATCACAGGTCCCAGAAGGCTGCAGGACCATTTACAAAGCCCACAGTTAACATGCCAGTGCCAGAGACTCAAAGACTAGTTAAGAACCCGGCTTGGGTGAGGACAGGTAAGTTTCCTTTTATTAAAAGTTAGCAGCTGCAGTATTTGTAGCTGCTGACTTTTTTATTTTTTGTTCCAAGGGTGAAAGATCACTTTGAACACTAATCTTTGGGCAAAAAAAAAAAATTACACAATATGTGTATGTTATTATTGTGACAAACAGTAAGTGGTTTCTGTGTGCAATCAATCTAAACAACAAAGAAATGAAAGGTCCTTCTATGTTGACCTCTTACATTACAGGAGGACAGGAGATGCCAGCCTGTAATATGAGATCAACATAGAAGGGTAAGAGTTTAGTCATTATTACACATGTGTAGGTGCCTTTTGAATCAGAAGTGGTGACACAAGGAGATACAGAGAAAAAACAAGACACTATTTTTATTAATTTTTATTTCTTAGGCTACTTTCACATTGATCCACCGCAAAAATGCATAAGAGTTTTTACCTTGCTTTTGCCATGCTGTGAGCATTGACTTAAAAACTGCGCAAAAATGCTTCTCAGAGGCATTTTTGAGGCACTTTTCAGGTGTTTTTGAGACACTTTTCAGGCGTATTCCATTGATTTCAATGGGAAGAGGTTTTTTTTTGGGGTGTTTTTTGAACTCCTCAAGCATGCCCCAAAGATGCTGCAAGCAGGAGTTTTTACACCACACCGCAAGCTCAATCCCTTACTGTGAAAACATACATAGATATACATTCACATACATAGGGGAGCATTTTTCTTGGGCTTTTCAGGTGTTTTTTTTAATGCAAAAACACTTAAAAAAAAAAACTGTCAGTGTGAAAGTAGCCTTAATATTTTTTTTCTTTTCTATTTTGGATTCATTGTACACATAGATCACTTATTGTTTGTCACAGTAATACAATACAAATATACACATATTTTGTGAGTTAAAACATCTTTTTTTAAAGTCATAGATTGGCGTTTTTGGAGGATTAAATAATGGTATATATGTAGCGCTGCACTTATATACTGTATATAGGTTATCTCTTTTGAGTTTTTGTGTAGGCGGATGTGATTCACACAGTGGTGTTAGCCAGCTGAAGTCATTTGGATCTTTTCTCATTGCACAGTGACAGCACGAATATACAAATAAACAGGCATCACACATCATTGGAGCATTCATGAAGCGTGCCCATAAAAGCCAATTTGTGCGAACGAGGTTAAGTGACAGGTTTGCTTCACAGCTTGTACAAGAAATGTATTAAAATTTCTGGTACCTATGGGTATGGGGGAAGGGGGTTCATATGTTACTTCTGTTTTCTGCAGTGCGGTGCTTGGTGCTTGAGCAGCTGATGTGGAAGGGAAACTTTACAGATCAGGCCATGGTTTGATTTGTTAGAATTTAAAACGAGCACAGGAATTTTTAAGTGCTGCATTCATGGATTGAGCCTGTGGTTTTGTTTGGAAAAAGAAAGTATTAACTCCTTGTGTATCCTGCTCTTAATTAAGTCTGTTATTTGCCTTTTCAAAGCAAAGTGCAAATTCATTTGGCATGTGTTTTTTGTAAGGTAAGACAGGGTTTCCTTGTATACTGACACTGGTTCTTGTCTTTTTTGACAACTATGCTGTTTTTTAGGCAGAGATTTTGGGAGTTACGCACTTTGTGGTAGCCCCTGCCATTTTGTCTGAAACGTTTCTTGGCTCAAGGTATTTAAATTTGGAGGTTTTCCCTTTCCTATCCAGACTAATTCTCAGGTGGACGAGGTAACTGCGTCATAGCTCCTGGTTGACGCGTTCATGCCTCCCTTTTCTGCTGAAACTGCACAGAGTAAGTTCAGCACTCTTACTTCCATCTTCTAAAGAGACTGCTACAGGAAAAGTCTGTGTCTGGGTTATAGCTGCTCCTGTATCCCAACACGCAAAACCCCATCCATTCCAACTTTTATTTCCATAAGTACCCCACTAAGGATTCCCTTGCTTGGCAATGGCAGATCACAGGCTGAAGGGAGCTGGGACAACAAAGTGGAATAGCATTGTGTTCTGCAGATTGCCCACAGGAAACTAAAAGCACTGTGCTGGGTGATGGCCATTCCCTTGTCCCAGAGCAATGTCCTCGTATGTAAGCACTCTCCACCTCTAACTTTAGCTGCCTCTCAGGCATGCACAATGCAGCTTTCTGACAGAAACAGATTTATGTGCCACTGTGTCTGAATTCTTTAGAAATCGAAGGTTGTAGAAGTGACGAGTTTTCCAGAGGCCAGAAGTGCTATACCATACTCTATTCCCTCTGACCCTATTTAAGTTCTCTTTACTTGAGCATATTATAGAGGAAATAATTTTGAGCCCTGATTTTGTAGTGGAGAGGATTTTCCTTCCCCTGCATTTTAAAAGCTATGGCTTCTCAACAAGTGCTCTCTGCTGTGGACCCATTAATTGACTCCATGCTCACTAGTCTTTGCTTAAAAGCACCTATTTCTCCACAGCCAAACCAAATTCCTGTGGGCACTAAGATGCGAAGTCAAAAAAATATTTTTCCCATACAATGATTGACTGTGCACTTTGAGCACTGACTCACCCCATAGAGGGGTTTCACTCATAAACGTTTTACTGAGATTTATCCTATGTAAAAGGATATTATGGAATGGACTATTCTAGAAACATAGAAAAGTGACTGCAGAAAAAGACAGAGTGGTCCACCGAATCTGCACCTTTTGTGTGTTGTTTTTTTTTTTTTTTGTTTTTTTTTTTTTTTGGGCAGGGGGTTGTCCTAAGTATATTTGAAGCTATTTACTATTGACTAGGCTCACTACCTCTGCTGGAAGTTTATTCCAAGCATCAACTAGTCTTTCTGTAAAATAGTACTTTCTAAGATTAGTTTTGAACTTTCCTCCAGTTAGTTTAAGGTCATGTCCCCGTGTTCATGACTTTGATTTTGTGTTGAAAATACTGCCCTCGTGAACCTTATTCACCCCCTTGATGTATTTAAAGGTTTCAATAATGTCTCTCCTTTCCCCTCTTTCCTCCAGACTGTACATGTTAAGTTCCTGAAGTCGCTTTTGATATGTTTTATCCCCCAGACCTTTCACCATTTTTGTTACCCATCTCTGGGCTCGTTCTTTCTTATCGATGTTTTTTGTAAGTGAGGTCTCCAGAACTGGACACAGTATTCTAAATGAGGTCTAACTAAAGATCTATATAGGGAAATCAGAACCTCTTTCCTCCTGCTGGTGACCCCTCTAGTGATGCATCATAGAATTCGATTTGCTTTCCCCAATGCTTGGCCACACTGCTTGCTCATTTTGCAGTCATCTGTAATAAGTACCCCCAAGTCTTTTTCCTCTGAAGTGCTGGCCAACACTGTACCCCCCCAATGTTGTAGTCTCTCAAGGGATTATTTTTCCCTAGGTGCATTAATTTACATTTAGAATCATTGAACTGCAATTTCCACTTTTTTTACCAATCTTCCAGCAATGCCAAATCTTGTTCCATGTTCTGGTTATAGATTCTGCCACTTCAGTTCTCAATAAACAGCTTATTCTTCCTATTGAAGATGTTCCCTCTTCTGTTGATGGGCGTTTTTGAAGCAGTCTTAGATTGGTATAAAACTCAAAAACAAACATAATTATTAGTATTCATTTTTTTAATGTTTTCTTTCTTTTATTTTCAGCTGGTAATCCAGTCAGTAAATCTGTTTTTTTAACAGAACAAGCTCTCCTGTAAATGTATCAGTTAATAGTGTTGAGACAAACTATTTGCCACTTACAGAGGTGCTTACAATAATCCTCTATTTTTCGCAAAACCTTTATCCCAAAATAAAAAAAAAAAATCTGTTGCTGTAATTGCAGTTTGAGCTGGAGTTTGGCTTCACTTTGTTAGTGTATCTAAATCTGCTAATCCATCTAACACTTCACTCTCCCCCAATTGACAATGTTGCTGTCCAAAGGTGCCCCTTGTGCTCCATCATCCAGAGTGGGGGCACCTCTAAAACAGGTGGTGTGTTACTGGCCAGATCACAAGTAAAAACAGAGGGTAAAAAGCCCTTTAAAAAAAGAAAAAGCTAATGCAGACACCACATCAAATGATTGATAAGATGCAATATCTTACGTGTTTGGTTTGGTGTTTAATAATGCTTTAAAGGCCTTATTTGTTCTTGCAGGTCAGGCCCTGCAGCCAGAAAAATTTCTGCCATGTCTTTCTGCCAGACTTTTGATAACTGGTGAAGACAATTGAACAGAGACAAGGAACCTGTTTTATTGACCCTGCTTCTCTTAAAGCCATGCACTTGATGCCCTCTCAGCCTTATTCTTTTTTTTTTTTGACACTGTAGAGCAGTGGTGTTAAACATTGCGCGGGCCCATCACCATTATGGTTGCCCTCAAAGGGCCAGTTGTATCTGTAAGACTAGATGTCCAGAGGACCCCACCCTCCCTAACATGTCAAGAGTCCTCAACCATCAGAAGTCAAGAGTCCCACACCCTTCCTTACATCACATTGCAGGGGGGAGAAGAGATGAACCTCTCTGTGACTGCACAGAGAAGATCAGGATCTAAACGAGGAGTTCTTACCTCCTTTCTGCTGCCAACTGCTGAGACGAGGTTTAGCAGAGACAAGGCGGGTGCCGTAGCTGCAGGAGATGTGCGAGGGCCACATGAAATGGCCTGGTGGGCCGCATTTGGCCTGCGGGCCTTGTGTTTGACACGTGTGCTCTAGAGAATGTAATTCGCCAAGTCTCTTGAATACCCCATGCATGAGAGCACAGGATTTTGTGGTTAAAATTTTGGTCTGCTCCTGCTTGTCAAAAGTTTCTACTGCGTATGTCTTTTGACAGTGAATGTCTGTTTGGGGAATCCCTTGATGAATTAAGAAAGTCATGGGGGGAAAGGTAATCCTACTCCACAAAAAAAAAAACCTTTCACTCTTACAGTTGCTACTTCTGCTCAGCAAAGTGTTTTTAATTTTTTTTTCCTTTTGGCTCCCCCCAAGTATCAACCTGAAAACCAAGGCGTAGTGCCTTCTTTTATGACAAGCACTGGTCTCCAAAGTCCACCAAGCTTGTCCAAAAGCCCTCCCACCCTCACAATGAAAGGGTGCCCCCACTCCCAAGAGTTGTAGGTCGTCAGTTGGCATTTGTGCCAGTCTGGATCCAAGACATCCCAGACCTCTGGGTCCAATCTGTCATTTAAATAGGTAGAAAATAGAATTTTTATCCCTGCCTCCTTCAGTCTTCCAGCTTCAAATCAAAAGGAGGCAGATTTAATGATAGCCCTGCACCAACTTCAGGCACAAGAATGGCACAGGGATTGTGCCCCTCAAGACCAGGGAAGTTTCTGATAAAATTAGACATGCAAGTTACCTATCTAAACATCCCTATCTTCCCTTCACATCAATGCTTCCTGTGTTTTGCTGTGGAGACTAACATTTCCAGTTTGTAACACTACCATTATTTAGGCTATTCTCTGCACCCCGAGTGTTCACAAAAGTGCTTGCTTCATAACTAACTTTAGAAAGTTTGCTCTCCAGTCCTCACATCATCTAGAGTTTTCCTTCCACAGGAGAGTGTTACTTTTCTGTAGTCCCACGTGCGGACCCTCAGATCAAAACGACACCCTTAGTTTGCTTCTGCATGAAGGTTCTAGGTTGGATGATGGCCTTCTTCAATGCAGTTCCCTTTGCCCAGTTTCACTTCAGACCTATTCAATCCAACATATCCTCAACTTGGAACAAGCAAATCCAATCTTTGGATTGCCCAGTGTTTTTTTCCAACCAACTAAAGCTCTCTCTAACATGGAGGTTCTCCAGTCCTGCCTGGAATTGGTAAAGTCATTACTTCACATGCCTGGGAGGTGAGGACAACAGATGGAAACCTTATAGTGGGGTGGAGTTTACAACTCCCTGACTGTCCACGGGACATGGTCATTAGAAGAGTCAAGACTTCCCATCAACATTCTGGAACTGAGAGCAATCAGATTATCTCTTCAAAGACTGGAAAAATCTTCTGCAAGGTCACCAATCACAGTGCAGCAGTGGCCTACTACAAACAAAACAGGATTGCACCTGAAGTCAAGCAGTCCTAAAATAAATCAGTGTAGTATTCCACTGGGCAGAAAGTTACATTGCAGCACTCTTGGCCATCCACATCCCTGGACCCAGCAGAGTGTCCTTAGCACCAAAATATCTTTTATAATTACTGAAAAAGGTGGGGAAAACAAGATGTGGGCATACTGACCTCCAGGCTCAGCAACAAAATGAGGAATTTTTGTACCCAAGATCAGGGATTCTGTAGCCTTCGTAGTGGTTGCTCTGGTTATTTCTTTCAATTCAAGCTGCTTTATGCTTTCCCACTAATGAAGATCCTTCCTCTAGAGGAGGTGAGGGTTCTGGTGATACTCGTCATACTAAATTGGCCCAGAAAGACAGAGCATACAGACATACTCAGACAAGCCTTTGCCTCTAGCAAACAGACTAAATTTGCTGGTCCAAGGCCCCCTATTCCATTCTGCTCCTCAGTTGCTGGCTTTGACATAAATGACAGGAGTATTTGTGATTCTGTATTATTTCCACTTTAATCAAAGCAAGATTTATCATCCCTTTTGGAAGGCTTTCTTTGCCTGGTGCGAGGATAGGAAGCTGAGCACCAAGGAATTCTATACATTACTACTAACACTATATCACTCATATTTTGACCTTTCTTCAGTCTGGCCTTAACCAGCATCTGGACTTAGGTACCCTCAGGGGACAGGTTTCTGTCTCCTCCATTTTATTAAAGAAACGTCACAATTCCTAATCTAGACTTACATCTGTGAGATGTGTTTCTGATAGACACAAATACAACACCTCCTGCGCTCAGGGACCCAGATCAGTAGAGAGCCGATGGAACATATATGATGGGATATATGAAAGTTCCTCCAAAACCGATCAAAGATTATGCGACTCTAACACGAAGCTGGGGAAGCTCGATACAAACTGTAGTGAAGAACAAAAACAAAGCACACCAACCTTGTGCATTACCTCAGTAAGCAATTGGTAAATGTATTGATTTAAGAAATATACTCACAAAAGTAGCAATATAAAAGGCATATAGAATCCAAAATTGAAGCACTGGATTTGGAGACATGTGCGAATCCCATCGAGAGGGGAGACTCCCAGGGTAAAGCTGACGCGTTTCAAGGGTTGGACCCTTCTTCCTCAGAGCTCTTGCTACTTTTGTGAGTATATTTCTGATGTGGTCAGGGCTGTTAGGGTCTACCTTGTAGCCACAGCCTTTGTTTGCAAGATTGAGTCTTTTTGTCCTGCCTGTGGGCCCTCATAAAGGGCTTCCTGCTTTGCCATTGCCAGGTGGATCAGGAACTTGTTGTATCTTAAGGGCTTTTGCCCTTAGGGACATAAATCTTTCCTCCTTATCGGAGCCCATTCCTCCCGGACTGTTGGCTATTTTCCAAGTTCTACCAGATGGATGTTCAGGTCTCAGTGGATGTGAGATGCAATGTGCTTCAAGTTATCTGAGTGTTTTGTTCTTTAACAATCTTTAACCTTTTGTTTTCTTTGCTTGTTGACACTTCTGTTTGTTATGTTGTAGTTCACCCCTTCAAGGAGAAGAGGGGGAGGAGTTTGTTTTCTTTTTTTTTTTACAAAAATGTTATACTTACCTGCTCTATGCAATGGTATTGCACAGAGCAGCCTCTTACCTCCTGTTCTGGAGACTCCTGCTGGTGCTCTCTGCTCCTTTTCCTCTTTTGAGTGCCACCTCTGCAAGCCGGCTGCGGAGTTGGCACCTGTGCGGGCACGCTTCTGAGCCAAGCTGTGTATGTCTATAGACACAAACACAGAGCGGTACGGCCTTTTCTCCCAGCTCCCTACTTACAGGATTTGACTGACAGCAGCAGGAGCCTGTGACTCCTGGTACTCTGATTCCCCCTGTGAAAAGTGGACTAGAGAGCGGTGAAGCTGCAGATGGGACAGCTCTGGATCGGAGAGGAGACATGTAGGTGTTTAGGGACAGGGGAGGGGAAACAGGTTTTGGAGCGTTTTAACCTTATTTCTTAGAGTGCATTAGGGTAAAAAATGTTTAGACTTTAGAGCCACTAAAAATGTAATATACTGTATGTATAAAATCACATATGTGTTTTTTTTTTTTTTATGACAGGTACGCATGCAAGCATTAAAGTGCTTTTCTGTTTTAGCGTTTGACAATCCCCAGGTATCAATGACACTTGTAAATGGTAAGCAAGCATTATTTTTTTCATAATGTTATTATATAGTTCAGTTATTGCTTCCCGTGGTGTTTACATAAAATTCTTCCATACTGAATGAGGTATAACATTTTGCTGCATGCCACTTAGCAAGCATAGTGGATCAAGGAAACTGGGCTGTGTTGGAGTTTGTATGGTGCATACTTCTGTGTAGTCACAGCAAGAGTCAACGGATATTGAAAGAATTCAGAAGCTTTTTTTAAAGCTTGTCTGTGGGTATAAGCTGGGGTCATGGGTCTTCATACAGCCTGATCACTCTGTTGGCTGCTTATTGACCCCATCATCTTCCATTCTGACCCCTGTCCTCTTCCCTTTACTTACCCCTGTCCTCTTCCCTTCTGACCCCTGTCCTCTTCCCTTCTGACCCCTGTCCCTGTCCTCTTCCCTTCTGGCCCCTGTCCTCTTCCCTTCTGGCCCCTGTCCTCTTCCCTTCTGGCCCCTGTCCTCTCTGCTGGCCCTGTCTGCTGCCCCTGTCCTCTTCCCTGCTGGCCCCTGTCCTCTTCCCTGCCCCCTGTCTCTTCCCTGCTGGCCCCTGTCCTTCACCCTGCTGGCCCCTGTCCTTCACCCTGCTGGCCCCTGTCCTCCACCCTGCTTGCTCCTATTCACTGCCCTGCTGACCTCTCTTACTTTGCTCTGCTTACCCCTTTACTTTGCCCTGCAAACTGCTGACACTATCTCCTGTGCTGCTGACCTCAGATCCTATGCCCCCCTGACATTTTTTACTGCACCCTCACATCAGACATGCTAGATCTGGCCCTCTTGTAAGTTTTAATGCCAGACAAATTTGGATGATCTGCGGAGTGAAGGTGGAGGAATTGGGGTGATCTGAGGAATTGGGGTGATCTGAGGTGTGAAGATCCAGGAATTGTGGTGATCTGGGGTGTGAGTGCAGGATTTGGGGCAAGTCTGAGACTCACACTTTATTTCCATCTGTATAATGTATTTTGCAGAGCAAGTAAAAAGATGCATTGAAAATGTATGTCAGCACAACACCTGCTAAATAAATTGTAAATTGTAGAGGCAACACTGTGGCTGGTTTACAAGCATTGCTCATCCACACATTAATTCTGTTTTTGTATACTTGAAAAATATATGCTAAAGTGTATGGCGGGGCAAAGTAGGGAAACAACATATGCAGTGCATATTTTTTACATAATTGCATATTTGTTGTGTCCCCTTCTTCTTTTTTTTTTTTTTTTTTTTTTAAACACTGCAACTACAAAGTTATCTGTTGATCTGCCAGAACCCTTGTGCTCTTAACTTTCTTTTGGGCTGACGACACAGTGCCTTTTTTTTGCTCTGAAATTGCAAGCATTGTAGTCAGCTCCACCTCCTGGACTACAGAACTCTGCCTGTTCTCCACCCTTCTCGGTCTCTCTACACATACATTGATTTCTTTCCAAGTAAACAATGTTGCAGCCTGGAATCGTAAGAGCCTGCCCACATACTATAGGGTAAGGGGTCTTGGGAAATGTATGTCTGATGGCATGCTTATGTCAATAGGATCTGAGCTCCCAGCAGCTGCCCGTGCAAGACTTTTAAAACCTGGGGATCACATCTTGAGGGGTAATAAAAGTGGGTTCTTGCTACAGAAGCAAGTCAAAAGAAGAATATTATGCGGGAACATGATCTAGAGGGGGAGAGGGCAGTTAGTGGGTGCATTGGGTAATGCTTGAACATGAAGCACTCTTTAAGATAGCAGTATTTAACTGGAGATTTTGCAAAACTGATGCTAGAAATAACGATACCCAGAAGATGCTGAAATTTAACAGCCTCTTGTTTTTCTTTTACAGTGCTGGTTGATGGGGAACTATTGCCACAAATCTTTGTAAAGATGCTACAGCGAGACAAGCCTATTGAAATGCAGCTAACAGCAGCAAAATGGTATTTGCTGACAAAACATTTATCAACAGATGACTTTTGTTATAGTTCTTTTTTTTCTCCATATCCACCATGTGAAATGAGTAATCAATTTTTTCAGTATGAGCAACTTGTTTAAATTATATGCAGTTGTACTCAATACATGATGTGTTGCTACAGTTTACTAAAAATATGCAGTTAGAATAATATCCTTACAAAATGGGAAAAACATGAAATTCCATGCTATAAATACTTATTTCAGATGTAGGAAATTGCCTGTTTTTCAGACTGTATAATTTTTATAAACTAAAGACTCTGCATTGCTCTGCTTGCTGGTTTCCCTCATGCTGAGAAAACGGCAAGGATCACAGCCCAGGAATAAGCAAGTATGCTTGGTCTTTTCTCCTGAGCTGGTACATATACTGTAAAAGGACAGATTTACATTTTTAATGAGGCTGTATGTGTTCAGTCCCAGGATGAGGTTAACTACCCATACACAGAAAGATTGGGCTGCCCAAATAAACTTATTTTGCCACATCTGTAGAATTGGGTTGATTCTTGGAACATTAGAACTAGCGTGAAGATTCTTTTATTGTAAAGGATTCATATACTGGCATCAGAATGACCAGTAACAGAAAATCTGCATTTAACTCCAGTATTCTTATTGTAATGTACATAGTGTTGATTAGGAGATGTCAGACCTGCTGTATTGTAGTTTTTGTATACAAAGTGCCAGAATAAATGTTGCTTTTTGTAGGATGTATTGAAGCTTAACTGCTGAAAAGACTGGAGAATGCCACATACAATGCCACAGACAAATTTTAATGTTTGTTGTAGCGTATCCGTTTCTAGCATAAGACTAAAGGTGGAAGCCTAAAGCAAAGCAGCCAGTTAGGAAGACTAGTAAAAGTAAGTGTATAAAAGGGCAGTAGTGGGTGCCTACATGTAACTATGGAACTAAAACTCCTCTTCATTGTGCCCCAGGAGCCCTTCCATTTCTGTAACTCAGATCCTAGGGTACAGAAACCAGAATTGTATTAAGCTGTGTACACATGTCCAGGAACCGCCCAACATTCAAACCATCTGTAGCTGTCCTTTCGACAGAACATGGTCTTAGGACTGGCTTTTGTCGAAGGGATAAGGTGGTGTTATCACTTAGTACAGCGATCTTTTTTTTATTCATTTTTTTTTTTTTTTTTTTCATTCAGCCGCTGGGCTGTGTACCAGGAATTAAGAGTACCATGCAGGTACATCAGTATGAATGCATTATCAATACTCTGCAGTTTACAGATAGCTCCAATGAAGTTACTGGTGTGACACAGCCCATAAAGTGCATGATTTTCAGTTATCTTTACTGATTTACACCTGACATATTTAGTGTGGTTTTCTTACACAGGTTAGTTAATATGGGGAAACATTTGCAGACTCCTGGCCATCACACCTATGTGAGCTGCTTGAGCATTCCATCCTAAAACCATGGGCATTAATATGGAGCGGTTAAGTGGAGTGGATGACCTGGTTCACAAATGACATTTCACTTCATCTCAAAAGTTTTCTATGGGGTTGAAGTCAGGTCTCTTGTGGCCTACTTGAGTTTCTTCATCAAACCATGTTTTTATGGAGCTGGCTTTGTGCACAGCCTTTCTGGAAAAGAAAAAATCTGGAAAAAATCTAAAATGTCTTTGTATGTAAAATTAATAGTATCCTTTACTGGAAACTCCTTAATGCAACAATTTGGAGTTCTCAAGAAGTTCTCAAGAAGCAGGTATCCATCAATGTCAACTGTAAATGACTCTCTACCTTCATTGTAGGCAGTATAAAGAGAGTGATGTCTTTCTATTGAATTGTTGGGGCTAAAGCTCTAACTAATGCAGAATCCCAAATGTTTAAATCATATTTGTGAACAAAGTGGTTTAATCTCCAGTGCAGTCTTTGCCAGTCTACTTCTTTTAATGTGCTAATGATCTAAGCAAGCACAATGTGATTCACTGTTTTTCTAAGTGATAATAGTAGTAAGCTCCAAGGATCAGGCCCTCCTAACCCTCTTGTATTGAACTGTATTGTTGCTGTATTGTCTCCGTTATATTGTAAACCGCAGAGCAAACTGTTGGCGCTATATAAATCCTGTTTATTAATAATAATAATAATAATAATAATAATAATAGTACCATCATAAACTGGTTACCCATTTATCAAATTTGACATCAATGCAGATTACTTGCATATTAGCCTTATTTCATGTTGGTACAAGCGTAAGACCGAATGGTTGCAATCACTTTTTTTTTTTCTGTGCAGCTTAACGTATATGTGTCGATCAGGCGCTATTCGAACAGATGACAACTGCATTGTCCTGAAAGTAAGTAGCTGCGTAATCTTCACCTGTCGTGGATGATCTTGAAAATACATACTTTTTTATATTCTGCAATATTATCACAAGCAAAAAAAAACATTGCTTTACAAAGTTCAGTTGCTCGAGCTAAACCCATCCCTTGTCAAACTTGGCAAGCAGTGTCTGTAGTGTTGTGTACTAAACTAACAATGCTTTGGGAGTTTTTTTTTTTTAAAAAAAAGCTTATGTAAAACAGGGATTGTATATGGGAGAAATACAGATATAAACTTGTAGGCTTTAATGTCCACACCCACACATACAGTTATGGCCAAATATTGGCACCCCTACATTTCTGTCAGATAATGCACCACTTTGCCCAGAAAAAATCGTTGCAATTACAAATGTTTAGGCATTCTCACATTATTTCTTTTGTTTGTATTGGTACGACACAAAAAAGTGGAGAAACAAAAAGCCAAATCTGACAAATTCCACGCAAAACTCCAAAAATGGACTGGACAAAATTATTGGCACCTTCTAATTGTAAGAAATAATTGCATTCCAAGTTTGTGATGCTCCTGTAATTTGTAATTAAATTCACCTGTATCAATTAACAGGTTCTGACAATACAGAAATCACACCGGCAACCAGTTAAAATGGTGAAAAATTTACTCAACCTTTCCGTTGTGTGTCTCTGTGTGCCACATGGAGCGTGGAGAAGAGCAAGAGCAGCAAAGAATTGCCTGAGGATTTGAGAACAAAAATTGTGGAAAAGCATGGACAATCTCAAGGTTACAGGTCAATCTCTAGAGATCTAATGTTCCCATTACTAATGTGCGCAACATCAAGAAGTTTACAACCCATGGCACTGTAGCTAATCACCCTAGACGTGGACAAAAGAGAAACTTGGTTGAAGATTGCAACAAAGGATTGTTCAAATGGTAGATAAAGAACCTCGATCAACTTTCAGACAAATTCAAACTGACATTCTGGCACAGGGTACAACTGTGTCAGCTTGCACTATACACTGCAATCTGAATGAAAAGGGACACTATGGTAGGAGACCCAGGAGGACCCCACTGCTGACACAGAAACATAAAAAAGCCAGATGAGAGTTTTCCAAAACGTGCCTAAGAAAGCCAAAATCCTTTTGAGAAAATGTGCTGTACACAGTCAAGATAAAATTTCAGCTTTTTGGTAAAGCCCATCATTTTACTGTTTTCAGAAAAAGTGGTGAGGCCTTTAAAGAAAAGAATACAGTCCCTACAGTCAAACATGATGGAGGTTCACTGATGTTTTGGGGTTGCTTTGCTGCTTCAGAGGCATTGGATGTCTTGACCGTGTGCATGGCATTATAAAAAATCTGAAGACTACTAAAGAATTCTTGGGTACACTGTAGGGCCTAGTGTCAGTAAGTTGGGTCTCCGTCAGAGGTCATGGGTATTACAGCAGGACAGTGACCCAAAGCACACGTCAGAAAGCACCCAGAAATGGTTTAAGACAAAGCACTGGAGAGTGCTGAACTGGCCAGCAATGAGTCCATATCTCAATCCCATAGAGCACCTGTGGAGAGATTGCAAAGAGCAGTTGAGAAAAGAAACCCTTCCAATCTGAAAGACCTGGAGTAGTTGCTGAAAGACGAGTGGTCCAGAATTCCAGTAGAGGGGTGTAAGGAACTCATTGATGGTTAGAGGAAGCGATTTTATTTTAGTTATTTTTTCCAAGGGGTGTGCTACCAAATATTAAATTTGAGGGTGCCAATAATTTCTTTAGCGTACATCATGGGACACAAGAGGCTATTCATGACTATGTGGGTTATATGCCACCTATAGGTTAATGGACACTGGCCGACCAATCGGAGCAGAGACCAACAGCACACTGCCCTCATTGGCAACTGGAAGAATGACCAAGCAGATTTTTCAAAGAAATACTGCAAATATAAAACTTACCATTCCCGCCCTGAATCTCAACAGTCCAACTTTCACCCATCGCGGCGGGATTTGCCATGCAGACCTTCAAGGACTCAGTCCCCATAATGTGGGGCCACTACCTCGGACCTGTACAACACCTCACCGGAAAACACCTTGGTCAGTATTATACTGCAAAAGGTTCCGTTATGCAGGGTCTAGCTCCGTAAGGCTACATTACAAGCAAAACCCCGAGAATTCTTCACCTTATCTAGCGATGCTCGGATACCACACATTTTGGCTAACAGCTTTCTAAATGGATCGAAATAAAGTCCTAGATTCTCTAATGGAACCATTCTGAACCTTCAGATATGCTCCCAGAGCACATGCAACACTTTCAGTGAACATCCACCTTACAGACACTGGCGAAAAAATGTAAGTACTTCCTGTGTAGGAGGGGTTATATAGGGGAGGACTTCCTCTCTGATTGTCCAGTGTCCATTCACCTGTAGGTGGCATATAACCCACATAGTCATGAGTAGCCTGCTCTGTGTCGCGTGATGTACTCAAAGAAATTGATTTTACAGGTAAGTATGTAGAGAAAAAATCCAGTTTTTGTCTAGTCCATTTTTGGAGTTTTGCATGGAATGTATCCGAATTGGCTTTTTGTTTCTCCACTTTTGTGTCATACGGATACAAACAAAAGAAATAAACATGAGAATGCCTTAACATTTGTAATTGCAACAATTTTCTAGATGAAGTGGTGTATTACCTAACAGAAATGCAGGGGTGACATGTCTGTGTGCGTCCATTGGCTGGCAAGGTTTCTGTGCTGAGAGCACACTCACTCTGACATACTAAACACGAAGGTGCCTGGTATGGATTGGGGGGGGGGGGGTGTCATGTTTTTGTTTTGTTTTTTTTTCCCCTAATTTTTAATTGCCTGCATGTTTTGTTAAAATTGAGCAGGCAGCCGATGAGCCATCTGCTGACAGCTGATGAGTCATCGATTGTTAAGGATGCGGCGGCCGGCTTTCCTAACAACCAGCTACCATGCGATAAATTATTGCTTGAAAATATGCAGTAATTACTGCAATACCAATATTTTACTGCAAGAGTTATTTACTGCAACATTCTTAGTGAATTGCACGTTTGCAGGAGATTTACCACATTTTATTTATTTATTTAACACTTAGTCAACCCCTTTTCATATTTTCTAAAAAACTTGTGGCAAAAAGACATTTTCCAAAGACCAACTATGCCTTTCAGAAAATACCTTGGCGTGTTTGCTTTCCAAAATGGGGTCATTTAGTGGGTGTTTCTACTGTTGTGGTTCTCCAGGGCCTCCAAAGATGTGATAGATAGTTAGGAAATTAGATTAGTAATGTATGCCCCTGGGATACCTGGAGGTGCTCCTTGGATTTTGGGCCCCTCTATGCATCCCTGTTATTAAGTATGACACGTGCGATAGCCCCATATTTGGGAGGTATAGCAGAATGTGTTTTGGGGTGTAGTTGTAAGTATGCCTGTGTTGTGTTTGAGAAATAACTTTTTAAAATTACAAAAAAATATCAAGTTTAAAAACTCACCATGTCTCTTACTAAAATACTTACTCTCTACTTTCCAAAAATTGGGTCATATTGGGGGTATTATTGTCCTGGCATTTTAGTGCCTCAAAGTATAACTAAAGGCAAAACATTTTTTTTTTTTTTTTGGATAGAGTAAAGAAGGGTTATAACCTGTCAGTTTTTTTGTCTTGTCTTTTTTTTTTTTTACTATCCATGTCCCATAGGGAAGATTTTGCTTCGGTTCCTTTCCCATAGCCAAAACAGGAAGTGAGATGAAATCCCTCGAAAGTGAGGGAATCCCAGCGTGTCACTAGGTTCACCAGTTCTGGTGTTCCCATTGGAAGATTTCCTCTCTATTACTGTTGTGAAATCAACCCCAATTTTTTTTCCATGATACTTATAGCGATAAACAATACAAATGGGGTGAATCTCCCGAGTGAGGGCACAGACCACAATAAAATCTGACAGGTGTTCTAGTCCATCTCCACTCTATCCAAAACTAATAATGAAAAAAAAAAAAGTTTTTGTGACATTTCAATACATTTTCAAATATGTATACCAGAGGTTGTAGACTTTATAATATTTTCCTACTTACTAAATAATATACACTGATTTGGGTTATTTTGCCAAAGAAGTATAGCAGAATACATTTTGGCCTAAATTTATGAAGAAAGATTTGCACAAATTTATAACCGAAACTAAGAAAAGTTTTTGGTTTTTTTTTTGTTTGTTTTTTGTCTTTTTTTTTTTTTTCCTGTTATAGAATAAAAAGTGGTGATTATATACCATCAAAAGAAAGCTCTACCTGTCTCAGAGAATGATAAAAATTATTTTGGGTACAGTGATGTATGCTTGAGTAGTTTGTCATTTAAAATATAACGGCACTGAAATCTGAAAAATGACCTGGGCAGGAAGAGATGAAAGTGTCCGGTCCTGAAATGGTTAAACAAAATAAATGTTCTTTAAAATGTTTCCGTAGAATATTGGTAAATGTTATTCCATCACTAGGTTTAACTGTGCTGTATCTTTCTGTTTCAGACACTCCCCTGCTTGGTTAGAATGTGTAACAAAGAACGCCTTCTAGAGGAAAGAGGTAGAAGGTGCAGAAACGTTAGCCTATTTAATAGAGCCCGATGTGGAGCTGCAAAGGATTGCCAGCATTACAGATCATCTCATCTCTATGCTTGCTGACTACTTTAAATATCCCAGCTCAGTCAGTGCCATCACGGACATTAAGAGGGTGTGTATATATGACTGGTTATTTAGTTCAAATCAATTTTGATGTTACGTGGAACTCACACACAAGATGTCTTTAATAGAGTACATAACTGATTCTGAGTGAAAATGTCTCCTAGAATTTGAATGTGTGTTGAATGTGATGCGTTGCTTAAGATTATATGAAAGGGCCCAGCTGTTTTAGTTTATATTACCTAGTAACATATGTCTGGCCTGTGGGTGTTTTTGGCTACATAGTATCATAGTTTTGTTTATTTAAGATGTCAAACTATCTGAAGCTATATATTTTATATAAGTAGCAAATGCTGAGTATTACTTTTAGCTTTAGTTTTAGGTTTGTTGAAGTTGCCTAGATACAGCAGTAGGCAGACTGAGTTGTGTTTTAACAAAGCATTGGCAAGAGCAGTAGTGATGGACGGTAATAGCGGTCAAAGTCAAACCACTAAAGTTTGCATGAAATGGGTTCTATGCTGTGCACAACTAGCTTATTATAGCACAAATATACTGTATAATAAACAAACCCTATACAGGAAAGCTGTTATGATGCTAGGCTACTGGACACAGAATTTCTACAATTACTGTCCCACAATGCATCACATTCTATGAATGGAGGTGGAGCAGTTGAATGACGGGGCCTCCATCGCCAATTCACAGAACAAGATGCATTATGGGACAAAATTGTAGTTCTGTGTATGGCAGAGAGGCCAGAAGGGTGTAGGCCAGTGAACAACTTCTCTCAGTAGCAGCTGCTGATAACCCCTTCCTGCCCAGCTTTGGTGTCATCCCTTTATCTGATCTACTGTGCCCAGAAGGCAAGAAGATTTGAAAGAGCACGTGTGATTGGCTGTCACAGTGTTCAAATGATCGAGAGCTACCAGCTCCCATTCATTACTAGAGACTGGGAGCTCTCTTCAACAACTGTCACTTTGATGGGAGCTTGCAGTGAGTGCTTTCTCAGTACAAAAACCTCTGCCGCCCCTGGACACATATGCATGTTGCGGCAAAACCCAACCTCTTTGCTGCAACACACATGCATTACGTCAGAGCAGCAGATATAAAGCCACTCAGGACAGTATATGGTGGCTCTAAAGAAGGCACAGCAAGGAAGATTTTTATTAGAAGTAGCTGCCTGCAGGTAATGGAATACATACTATTACACATTAACTAATGTGTTTGGTGCTGTATCTCTACTCTCCTCCTCCCCCAAAAAATTTACTAAACTTTAGCTTTAATAATTGTATATTTCCATCCCTGGAAGATTTGCAGCTTCACAGATCAGCACAGTATCAGACAGGAAGGTACATTTTAGGTGCTTTCTTTTACTTCCCCTATGATCTGATGTAAAATTCATGTCATGTGGTCATGCATCTGTCACCATCTGAATCATATAGGTTTACAATTGAGAAACGATTGGCTACCTCGTAAAGTCTGTCTAGGCATATATTGCTAAGTCTTAGCCCATAGGAACTTCTTAGTAGTTAGTGGTTTGTACTGTGCATGCACTCCTTTTTTTTTTTCTAAGTGCCGGTTCACATATATGCTGATTGGATGTTGTTGGAACTGCATCCAAACTGCATGACATGTGAAATAACATTTCTTCCTATGGTGCCTGTTCACATATGTCCGGTGCACTGGCAGTGCGGATGGATAAAGTGTCCTGTATGATTTCTGAGCATTTCTGGTTCGGTTCAGGTGCGGATTAAAGGCTAGTGACTTCTAAGGGAACGGTTTCTAAACCGCACATGTCATCAGTTGTGAACAGGATAAAGTCCTGACCTGAACTTCATCTAAATCTGTCCTGAACCTGATGTAAACCTGACCTGACCGCTGAACAGCTACTGTGCCAATTAGCTGTGAAACATAAGCTTCAATCTGCACCGCACATCTGTGAATCCACACTAAAGCATGTGTAAAGGCAATGTTTTTTAGTTTTCGATAGAGTAGGAAAGGATTTGGTTTTCTATCACGTTTTTACTGCTGTCTATGCCTCTGCAAAGAAGATTCACTTGTCTGTTTGTCCTGGTTACCATTTCTCCGGAGACAAAAAGTGAGAGAAATAAAACATTTCAGGGTTGTTACCAGAACAGGACATGAGGAAGAATCTTCCAATGGGCTCACCTTTTTCAGTGGCAAATGTACAAGAGATTTCCCTCTCTCTTCCTGTTGCTTCTCCAAGACAAGCAGTGACAGGAAATCTTCCAAACAGGATACGCAGCAAAAAAACTAAACAAAACCGAAAAAAAGGTTTTGGCTGTACATACATTTTAATTTATTGAAAGTGGTTCTAAAATCCAAGGATTACCTTCCCCTACCACTAAATACTTACCTGTCTCCTCTAATCAACCTGGCACTGTCCTGGCTGCAGGTCCTTCCCCTTCATGTTCTGGTCTCACAGGAGACTACAGGAGCAGCGGGAGCCAAAGGCTTCTGTTCTCAGTTAATTCTGTGAGAAAGCAGTGGGGAGCATAGCCAAGCCATAGTTTTTCATCTAATAACGCACACAGCCCGGCTCGGGAGTGCACCCGCATCGGTCCCGCCTTTGCACACGGCTTGAAGAAGATGCAGACAGTGTCAAGGGGGAACCACTAAAGAGGTAAGATACTGCTCTGTGCAATACCATTGCACCGATCAGGTAAGTATAAACCTGTTTTTGATTTTTAATTTGAAAAAAAAAAAAAGCTTTAGTATCACTTTAAGGGTCAGCCCACCATTATATAAATGCAGGATAGTTGAATTGCCCACTGGTTTCTTGTATCTTTTGAACACTGAGATCTCAGCACATAAATTGGTCCACCAATCTTTTACCGCTATAAGGGAGTCTCATTAATTATATCAATGTTTGTCATAATTGGAGCTGTTTTGGGCAGAGTTTGCTGCCGAAGCCTACAAAAAACCAGCTGGTAATTCAGCCCACTAGTGCCTGCTTACAACATAAATAGCTGTTTTGGATAATAATACATTTGTAAGCATATTCTCATGTAAGTGGAAAGAAAATAGGCAGTTCCTCTGCACTTGCATTGAATTGTTTCCTTGCTGTAAATTCTGTGTGTCTGTTTTTCCTAAAGAATGGAAATCTCTTCATTTTCATTGGTTTATCAGTTGTGTTGCACTGCATGTAGGTTTCTCTTTAACTCCCATGTTTCTGCTCCTTGGTTAGAGCAAACCTGTCCTCTTTCCCCTCTTGTTGTACACTACAGCAGCAAGAAACGGGGCAACTTTGCACCGAGGAGACAGACTCAGGAGGGGCTATAGACGAATCCTACTGCACTGCAGCCTTTCTTACCTTTCCATTGTCCCAAATGACTCCGCAAGCACAGCTTGTCTCACCCCCATCTCCGGAGTCCAAAGTGAGTATATACTATTTGTTGGTAGGTAGGTTCTAGTGTGTATTTTTTTGCTTGAGCATAGAAATGTGGCATTTTGCTTCCTGCTGTAAAGAAAAAAAAATGCACCAAAAATAGCTTATTGAAGAGGTCTGATGCATATACAGTACAGTAGGGTCCAAAATGACCAGGTATACGACACCAAGTTTATTCTGAAGCTCAAACAATATAATATTTTAAACTAATAGTACTAACTAATAAACAAGTTGGTTGGTATTTATTCACAATCAACAATTTTTCAAAAAAAATAATAAAGGAAATACGTTCTTGCTAATGTACTTTTACTCTGTTTTGGACTATACTGTATTAGAAAGTTATTTTGGAATTCCATTGGACCAAGCTTTTCTCTACATGTTGCTTGATTTTTGTATTTGATGGTTTTGTCACATTGAAGCAATTATAAATGGGTTAAAGTGCACCTGTGCCCATATTATGGTCAAAATTTAAAGGATTCCTTTAAAAGGTCACCTTTGGGAACATGTTACATGTTCCACCCATTTTTAGGGTGGAACATGTAACATGTTTCCAATGCTGCAGCCGCCATCCAATCCCCCCCCCCTCCCCCTTTGGCTGTACTTCTGTGGATCACAGGAGTGCAGTTTGTTCTGCATCCTGTGACTCGTTTTTAGCTGACAGTGGACTGACAGTCACCACGCTCTGCTCAGAGTTGCTGTGAGAACTCAGTAGTCATGTGATCGCTGAGTTCTCACACTTCGCGCCAGTGAGGCACAGATGCAGCATCGGATCTATGCTGCATCCACCTAGGTAAGTATAATTTAGAAAAAGAAAAAAAAAATACCGTAATTCTCGTTTAAGTAAATTGAAAGAACTTTCTAATTTAAGCACATTTTGTATTTTTTGGATAGCATTTGTAGCACTCTGCTCTTGTTTGTTGGCTGAAATTGCTCTTTAACCACTTCTGCCTCTGCAACGTACCCGTACGTCACCAGGTTGAAGTGGTTATACTGTGATGATGCCTACAACTACAGGCATCATTCCGGTATCTATCTTTTTCTGACGGCAATGCTATGTATTGTAAAAGCTATCCTAGTGGGTCCCTGTCTCCAGGTATCTTCCTGGGCTCTCTCCCCGGTCCACCAGGGAGCCCAGGCCTGGCTTAGCATAGAGATGATGAAGGACCAGAACGGCCCAGACCAACTCTATGGTATAAGAAACTGTAAGTGATGAGTATTTGGTCACTTCCAGTTTCGTCAGGGTGTAAACAACATCTTTTATATTCACCAAACAATTGGGTATTATGTTGTGTTTTAGTATATTTTTTCCAAAAAATTGGGTTTGAAAAATTGCTGTGCAAATACTGTGTGACACAAAAAAAATTGCAAAACCCACTGTTTTGTTATCTAGGGCCAGGGTCGGCAACCCATCGTTCGTGGGAAGCTGACGGGTAGATCACGATCAGGGCTGTGTTGATGCTTCCCCCAACCTCCTCTGCTCTCCTTTTAATAGCAGAGACAAGTGAGAGGCAAAACAGTGCTGGATGGAGGGCAGGAGTACAGGAGCTGCTTTAGTTAACTTTGCAAGTTAACCAAATGGTGATTGGTTGCTAGGTGGTCCTAGTAATCAATCATCAGCTTGTTAACATGAAAAGTTAACTCTGGCAGGTCCTGCTCCCACTGTCCATCCAGCACTGTTCTGCCTCTGACTCTGCTCTAATGAACAGCCGATGTAATGTAGGAGAGATGTACCTATTCACAGATGAGTGTTGTGAAGGGGGCAAATGTCACTACTTGTGGGGGGACAGAGAACACTTCTTGGGGGGGCACAGGACACTACTGTGGGGGGCAAAGGGACGCTATGGGGGGTTCAAAGACCAGTGCTGTGATGAGGGTGCAGAGGACACTACAGTGGGGGGAATGAAGGGGGGAAGAGGACACTGTTTTTGGGTACAGGACACTATTGTGGGAAGGCAGAGGACACTATTGTGTATGTGTGGAGGAGGATGATGTGAAAGGGGGCAGAGAACATCACTCTAGGGGGAATAGAGGGATACTACTGTTGGGGGCGGAGAAGACACTACTGTGACACACTGTGTTCTTCTTGCCATCTTTTTATTGGGGGCTTGATTTGTTCTTTTAAAAAACAGGGCGACAGTGCACTCCCTTCGGGGATCTTTGGTTTCCCTCTTGTTGTTCAGGCAGATCTCAACCTCTGAAAGGTTGCCTTCCCCTGCTCTAGGGCCTCTGCTTAAAAAAAAAAAATATATATATATATATATATATATATATATACACACACACATACAGACATACACACTCTGTTTGGGGTTTCTAAGTATTTTTCCAGCAGACAAATGATTTTCACATGTCAGATCTGTCATGTTCCTATTTTTTGATTTGCATGCACTGACAGCTTACACTAACAATTTTAGCCCTTAGTGTTGAATTGCAAGACCAGCATAGCAAAGTTCATGTTTGGGGGGATGTGTGCAAACTAAATCACAACCCCCCACCCTATCTACTTTATATCTCTCAGGGACTCAGGCAATGAGATGAGTCTGCGTTACACTGCCTACTGTGTCCGTAATTGCTTAGTTATTTAAAATGACTTGAAGAACTTCTGACTAAAATATTCTGTTCACAACCCAGGATAATTAAAAATTAGCATATGATTTAAAAAAAGAAACACAAGGTTACATATAATGAACATTTCTCTGCCTCCTGATTCTCTCAGTCATAGAAGCCACCCTTGCATTAAAGACCAAGACTGAATTTTAGCTGAAGGTTGCAAAAAATTAAATCTGTGAAACTTTTTTTATCAAGGGTTGTCCTAGATGCCCTGTTTATGATGCACATGTTCCAAATTTGCACACGTTTTTCTTTCACAATGTTTTTATTGAAGAAATAAAAAATTGTTTACGGTATACAAAATGGGTACAGGTCTGCAAGGCATACAGCTGTGTATTTCACATTCAAAAATTATACAAATCGACTCAGAATGCAATGATAAAAAGTACAGATATCAAAACCCCCTATGCTAAAAGTCAAGGAGGCAACTTACAGTGTTAGAGACAGTTGAATACCTCACGTAGCCAAGGTTCGACTTGCCAGAGTAATAAACCATAAGATAATCCAAAGCAGTATTTAGTGTCAAGTTACCAGACATCTGTATTGCGAGGTCCATGTTTTGTTTTAAAAAGGATCGTTGAACAATCCATCTTGTCTATTGGCAAGCGTAGACCCAGTCACAAAACAGGACAGATTGGTGTACATAAAAATAAATCCATAAAAAAGTGGAGGGGGTGATGTACCTGCCCGGAAAGGGGTAATGACAATGCACAAAGTGGAAAGAAGAGAAAAAAGGAGAGAAGATGGTAAAAAGAGGAAGGGGCGGGGATGTTGTGTCCCAGCAGGGGGCCCTTGGCAGATATAGCCTACTTGTCACTATATGTTATAGATCTGGAAAATGAATAGGAGGTCCCATGAGCAGGAATTGGTCTAACAAACGTTGCCAGACATGTATAAATTTATTGTGCATGTTGGTGAGAATCACTGTAAGGTTTTCATTTACCAACATGCCATGCACTCGTCTTTTCACTTCATCAAAGGAGAGGGCCAGCATTTGCCATACTTTGGCGATCATCTGTTTTGTGGACGTATATGCACACATTTTTCATCTGTAGGGAGGTCATTTGTTTCATGTTTTCTGGAGGTGCACATATGTTTTAGTTAACTAGGCTTTATTTAGATGTATCCCTGTTAGTTTGCTTTATAACTGTATTTGTTGAACAATTTGTATATCACCCTACACTGTACTGAAAATAGGTTTTGGGGGGCTTAGCCTTTAAAGAAAGAATGGGGAAAGTGATGTGTCTGCACACACTTGCAACAATCTCCCAAACATTTGTGATGGCCAAATTCTGGCTTCTTCTGACAGGCAAAGCTGTGGTATTTCTAGGTGGTGTTGGCTCTTGCAACAAAACCCACACACGCATTTTTATTTCTCCCTCTCTGACAGGCAGTTCTACTAGCCATTAGGAAGTTGCAGGAGGCAGGAAAGGGTAGCCAAGCTTTGGCACCATCAAGAAGTGCCCATTTATTGCTGCTGTAATAAGGGAATTTGGTAGATTGCTGCAAGCATGGACAAGCATTTCATACCTGTAGCACTTTTTTTTTCCCATGAAAGTATTTTAAGTCTTCCACTGTAGCCACATACAGCGTATAACAAGGCAAAATTAAAATATAAAAAATCATATGCAATGATTACATGCACATGTCCCTGTATTTTTTTTACCTTTTTCCTGTATGTACAGAAAAATACCTCTTGGTATGTCAGGAATGCACTCATTTCTTACTTTCCTCTTGTGGGCTGATAACACACAGAATTTTTGTGGAGCGGCACCAGATCTGCCAAGTTTTCTTTTGCTAAACTACTCATTCCCCAAATTGTAGGCACTAATTGACTTGTAGGCTCAGGGTAAAAACTAATAGAGCTAAATCTTTGAGCAGGAACTGTACAAAGGATGCTGGGCAGCTCTGATTTTTTTTTTTTTTGTTTTTGTGTTTACAAGATCACTTTTTTTAAATATATTAGTTTATTTGACAGACCAAAATTGAGCAAATAGAAGTTCATTGTTAAGCTGTCCATACATTATACAATTTTCTTGTTCAATTTCCTTTAGATTTACCTTCAGCTATGTAATGCAGAGGCCTTCCTGATTACACACATATTGAAAGTGTTTAGGTTTGTCCTCATATTATATGGTTTTGGTAAATCCTAAAGGAAAATTGTATAATATATGACCAGCCTTAGAGTTTACATACAATATAAGGTGTGCTACGGTGGTTTCTCAGTTAATTTGCTCACCTGTGATGATAATGCTTGAGAGGTCGCTTTGCATGCCCTTCACACTAATCAAAGCTTTTGTCTTACTAAGTTAAGCATAGAAATTTTCTTTCTTTTAAAGATAAAATTTAAATATGGGCTTGAAAGTGGCATCTATTAGAATTAATTCTTGCAACAGATTAAATCAGATTTCAGTTACACACAGTCCCCACCAGCAGAGGAAGTACATGTTTATGCTCTGTCATCTTCTAAACAGACTGTCTAAGCCTCTCTGGTTTTATTACACAATGATGCTTTTTAGCTGTTACAGCTGTTTGTGGGAGCTTTGCTTTTTTTTGAAGTGTCACATAGATTGATATTAACGCATGCAGTTTGCTTGATGTAACTTCTTTCTTTTTTACTCCAGCTCGATCATGATTTGAAACACGCCCATGAGTTGCGACAGGCAGCCTTCAAGCTCTACGCCTCACTGGGAGCCAATGACGAAGACATCCGGAAGAAGGTGAGTCTGGGAGAGGGGCGACCCGCGGTCCTGTCAGCCAGCAGACAGGGTGTGATGCCCACCTGAAAAAGAGTCGCAAGGAAGAGACTTTAACAATGACTGTCTTGTTTAACGCCACAAGCAGAGACTGTGAGGGTTAATGGAGCAATGAATGAATGAGGCTGTGCCTTTTGGCTTGATTTTTTTGCCTTTAGAAACCTAGCATAGCGTGACTGTCAGAGGATGACCAACACATTGCATTCCATTACTGTCTTCAGCTTTTAACCTTGCGCATTACGTATGCATGAGTTCAAATTTAGTCTGTAGAAGGTCAGGTGTCTAGTGTTCTTAAAGAACTACCAACAGTGTCATAAATGTCCAAAGCTGCTTTTGCAAATAAAACACCTTTCATTAGCAGCTGGGCCTGCAGACCTGTGTGTTGCATTATCTTCTTTTTTTTTTGGTTATCTACTCTTCGTTCAGGTAGATTGTGTGCCGTAGGTACAAGTTAATGGACAAAATGTATTTTGCATACAGCAACAGAATTAAAAAAAAAAAATGGTTCAGATTCTTTCTCCTTCTGGTCCAGGAGAGACCCCAAACGGTGCAATATTTTAAGATATATTCTCCTGGATTATGTTCAAAGCATGGGTGAGTCCAACCTTTTACCCTTTTTTCACAGAAGGTCACATAATTTATTTATTTTTTTTGTAGTTTTGATCTCTTGGGTTAATTACAAGGCTCCTAGCTGCTTATGGTGGCAATATATCGTTCAGTCTTTGTAAACAATTTGCATAACTTGTGATGATCAGGTGAGGATTAGACTTTGCTGGGAGTTCCATGTGCAGTGGTACCCAATGCTGTAGCGCATGGTAAACGCTCAGTATCATTTGCTGTCATTCAGGCCAAAACTTTCAGTCCACCCTTAGCAGCATATACTTACCCTTCTTTTCTCCCCCTCTAACTACACCCTTCCAAAAAACAGCCAATGAAATACCTGGTACTTCTGGCTATGGAAGAGCAAGTAACAGCTCTGAGCCAATCAGTGTTGTCACAGGGAGTCCATAGCCCTGTATGAGTTACAGCTCTTGTGTCGCATATATAAGCAAGGTAAGTATGTGCGCCTGTGGAGGTCTGAATTAAAGTGAACTTTATTTTTTTTGCCCATGCACTTTACGGTGTGCTCATTTTTAAACAATAGCAATATGTGAGACCTCTTGGGTCATTGCAAATATTGCAGAGGTATGCAAAAACATTAGTTTAAATGTCAGGGTAGTGGTGTGCACCCTGTAGTAGTGCCTAGTCTATAGTCATTTCTCACGTGTTAAGATTATACATTGAGACTGTAAGTCTGCATGTCCGTTATCTGTTAAAAGAAAGGTTGTGTAAGATTTTGCATTTACATCCAATGGACCTTTTATCTCTGTACAGCATAAAGGCATACATTTTAATTGCTTGACATCGATACTCTAATATTACTGTCCTGTGTAAGGTGAAACTTAATTTCTAGTTTTTCCTTTGTTTCCTATACTATAATCCTATAATAGTTATAGATTGCAACCAAATTATATCAGCTTCCATTATATTTTAACATATATACACAGCCCGTACACTTTAAAGGATAAGTTCACCTTTTAACAAAATATATTAAATGCACAATTTGTTGTAGGTAAAAAAATGTGCATATATTACTTTTTGTTTCTGGAGCCTGTAAAGCATTGCAACAGTGGTCAGCAGATAGCTAATGCCATGCAGGTCTCCCCCAGACCTGTCCGTATATCTGCTTGTTCGTACATACTGTATGGGAAAACAGATACTGACAGGAAGGCTCAATGAACTACCACGGCACTGTGAAGCACCGTGGTAGTTCATTGAAAACTACATGCCAACAGCTGCAAAGGCTGTTGGAGCTTGCAGTTTTTCCATTCACAGAATAATGTGAATGAGTGACAAGGGCGTGCAGAGGGGAAGATCCCCCGCTAGTTGTCACAACGGAGATCGGGGGCAGGGGCCAGTCCATTTGTTACACTCTGAATATGGGTGTAACATATTATGAAAGGTGAACTTCTCCTTCACGGTGCTTATGGCCCATTTAGCGGGTATTTTTTTAGTTGCTGTATTTGATAAAACCCAAAGTATGCTCTCAATTTACGCAAACTTGGTTGGCATTTTATATATAGATGTAAACAAAATGCACAAGTTCATCAGATTTTAGATTTCCTAACATGATTTTCACAAATGTGCTCTGTATCAGCACTGAATTGATATAGTTTAGCAAATTGTTGGTAAGAGATTTGTACAAGTCTTTTATCTATCTATTGTATTAATACCTTATCGCTGTAAGTAGAAGTCTTGTTCAGACAGACTGTATTACTTTTGATAGATAATGCAGTATTATGATGCTTCCCTTTGCAAGGTGTTTGTTTAAAATAGATACACTGAATACTGTGTTAGACACTTCCCCATTCCTGCTAACAGAGAAAGATCAGACGCCTGCTGCATAACCATTGTTTTAGATTTGTTTTATGTCTTTGGGGTCAGATGAAAGCAACTATTCCCTAAATTTTGAGTGACATTAGGTTGAAGGTTTAGTGTCTCTGATGCTGAACTAGTAACTGACAGGTGATGAATGCTTCCATTACAGTCATATTATACAGGTGCTATGATTCCTAATACAATGCCTTTTAAAGTGGAACTGACATGAAAATTAAAAACAAATGTAGAGACACCTTATAGCACACTATATCTGTTTTTGCAGGACTGGTAGATTAGCTTCAAAATCAAGGATTATAGGAATAGAGTACCCTCCCTTTCTATTCTCATACGTGACCTCCTCCCTCTCTGGGAAAAACTAACCCCTAAACTATGGTTTTCTTATAGTCCCTTCTGTGCAAACTCAATCTTCTAATCCCCCCACCTATGCCAAATAACACAGTGGGGATCCCTTGTGTCTCTAGAGACCCACCTGCCACACACTATCCCATCAGCTCTACAGTGGCTCTCTTTCCAACAGCCTAACTCTTTTCTATTCTCGCTCCTAGGTAAACAGAACATTTCCCCTTTTTAACTTCACTTAAGAGCTGTCTTCTACAGGATTCACACCTGACATTTACGCCATTGTCCTCTATTGCACTCATTCCTCTCCCCCGTTACATCAGTGGTTGAATGAACTAGGGGTTCCTCTGTCCTCAAAGGGTTGGGGAAAAAGCCTTTATTTTTATGTATCGACTCTCCTTGGCAAACAAAGCCCAGGAAACTAATTTCAGAATCCTTATTGGCTGGTACTGATGCCCTACAATGTGCCACACCATCTATTCCTCAGTTTGGACCATTGTTGAAGATGCTAAAGCCATCCTTCCACTTTTGGTGGGCCTGTGCCCCTATCAAGAAAATCTGGGCTGTAATACCAAAGCTACAGGTTCCACTGTCCCAACTTTCTCCACATTGTCCTACTTTCTAGGTTACCAGGCTCTATCAAATACCCTATACTTTGACATTTCCTCACTGCGCGCTCTGTACTGTGATTCCACATGCTGGCATCCATTTCAGTCACCTACCCTTCTAGAGTGGGAATTAGACTTCCTTGCATGAAGCTCAGGAAAATGACAAACTGGATTCATATACAAGGATCTGGGCCGCTTGGACTGTCCTTCAAAATTCCCAGGAATTTTGTGACCAATTTATCATCCCCTTAAATATATGCATCTTTTTTCCAAATATGGCAGTATTTGCCCCCAGCACCTTCCCTCACTAGCTCTTTACTCTTCACCTTGTATCATCTACTACTCTACTCCCCAAACTACCCTATTCTTGTTATCCCTCCTTTTCTGCGCATGCGTTCCCCCTGCCTTTCTTCTTGTCTGCACATATTGTATAGAATGCTTAGCGAACAAGCCTGCAGAAGCCTCTAAACCTCAACAAATCTGCCTTTATATGCCTCTTTATTAAAATATTGCCCTCCTTATTCCAGTTCACACTCTCACATCCTTTTGTGGTTTGCCATGTGCCCTGGGAGGTGTAGTAATCAATGCCATGTAATCATTCCAAACAGTGGTCCTGTTGTGACCTGGATTGCCTTGATTGGATGTTTTCAATGCAGAAATGTGTTGCACTGGTAATGTATGTCATCTAACCTCTTTCCCCTCTTTTCTACATTCTTTTTCCCTTGTTTGTCTTAACCTAACATTCAATCAAATCAGATTAAACAAAAAAAAAAAAAAAACTTTACCATGGTGCTCCCACACCTGGGCACGCTCTGTACATAGCACTTAGTCCTACAGTGCAATAAAAGCTTCTCTGAGGTTTGGAGCTAATACTACTTGCTCTTAGCTGGTGACATTTTTATAAGTACTGAATATCAGTATGTCTCATAGCTGACGTGTAAACATTGCTAGTAACATAGCACGAGAACTATTAGGCATTCGAGACTGAAGTGGATTGCTATTGAGTAGTTCCTGGTTTTTCAGCATACATATAGTATGTAGTCAGATAGGGATTGTTTTATATTCTCCAACTAAATTGACCTTACAAAAAAGTTATCTTGCAATAGTGTAATTCTATACTGTTACCTTGGTGGTTTAAAACCTAAAGTTTAGTATAATATTTTTTGTTTGGGGGGAGGGGGGTGGGGAATACAACACCAAACACATTAGGTATGTTTATTGGTGTGTTCCGATTACCTGCAGGTAGCTGCTTCTAGTAATAAGATTCCCTGCAGTGCCTCTTTCATAGCCACTGGAAACTGCCCTGAGTGGTATCCTTCCAGCTCCATGAAGGTTAGCATCAGCCTCTGCTACTGAGAAAAGTTGCATCAGCTGCTCCCCCTCTTCTCTCTCTGCTATTCATAATGCTTGTATTAATACACTCCCATAACACTTTGGTGCTGTATTCCCTCCAAATATATAAACTAAACTTCAGCTTTAACTTAAAGTGTTATTAAACCCACAACAGAAAAATCAGGGATTAATTTTCAGCATTGTGTAAAAATGCTGTTTGATCCTGACTTCTATGATCCTCCCTATCTTCCAGTGTCCCCCTCATATCTCCTGATAAGACATATCGTGTGTAGACACTCTGCACATGCTCCT